AGCTTAGTGTTCAAAAACAGTGAATCACACGTATTATTAGATTTCAAGATATGGGTATGGATTTGTTGGCCATGTGACAATGCTTTTTCACTTGCACAAAGCTCAAGAACCGATGAAAAAGCTTCATCTAAACAATCCTCAGTTGGGTTGTGGTTAACGAAGAGATGGCCAAGTGCTAAAAAAGCTTCTTCGAGGTTTCCTTGTTTGCAAACACCTTTGAGAGAAGGGGTTTTGATAGGATTTCGAGGGAATTTTGAGATTTTGACAGGTGGGTTTTTCTGGGATTCCTTGAGAGTGGGTTGTGTCGTTAAGGAACTCAAGCAAAATTGCTGTATTGACGTAGCCATTTCCGTGTTGATGCATAGTCTGCGAAGCTTGTCTAGTGCCACTAAGCAGAGGGGCGAAGACGATGTGGAGTGGATTATACAACGTTCCAGATTTAATTAATATAGTTTCTTAATAAATTGCACAACATGAATCCGTTGTCGTCCAGCGGTTAGGATATCTGGCTTTCACCCAGGAGACCCGGGTTCGATTCCCGGCAACGGAACTCTTATTTTCCCTCGAAAAACGTTTTCCCACAAGTCCTTATTTTTTCTTTTAAAAAATTTCAATTACACCCCTTCTAATTTATCATATTTTTAAAGACACCCCTATTATTTTAAGAATCTTCACTATCACACTATAGTAGATTAAAAGTGTTAATTAAAATATAATTTTACTAATTTATTAATGATATATTTTAGGAAAAATTTTATTCACACTCCCTCTAAATTGACATATCTTTAATCAGACTCTCTTTATTTTTTAAATATTTTTACAAATTAAAATTCGAACTAATTAAAATTTGATTCGAAATAATTAAAATTTATTTTTTACACATTAAAATTTAAGTTAATTAAAAATTATATTTTATTGAATCAACTTGAACTAAATTTTAATTAACACAAATTTTAATAAGTAAAAAAATATAAATTTTAATCGATTTGAAACAAATTTTAACTGACACTAACAACTTAAGAAGAACTCAAATCGGCTCGAATTTTAATGTAAAAAAAATTTAATAGGCTTAAATTTTAATACATAAAAAAAATAAAATTTAATCAAATGGAATCGAATTTTAATCAACTCAAATTATAATATATAAAAAAATAAATTTTAATCAGGTCGAATTGAATTTTATATTGAAAGATTAATTGGGGATTATATAGGGGAAATTTTGGTATTTTAGCTGAATTTTTTTTTGTTAGAAATGGTGGTCTAATAACAAGGGTGTCAATGATGTTTAAATATAAATTAGAAGGAATATCAGTGATATTTTAAATAATAGAAAGGGTGTCCTTTTAGGTATGATAAACTAAAAGATTTGTGATTTAAAATTTTCTTTTACTTTTTTGTCCTTGTTTTTTAACATATCATTTTTATGTTTTTTTTTTCCTTTTTCTTTTCGGAGCACGCAACCCACCCTACGTCTCTCTAACTTATAATAGTATTTTTTTTTGTATGGTGTTTAAGTTTGTTTCGATTATTTTTTCAAACTTAACGGTTGGTCACTGTGATAAATGATATCCCTAAAAAGATAAGAATAACTAGTTCTTAGGGAGTATAAGAAAAAATTGAACATAAAATTTGTATGTTATTAAAAATCAGACTCAATCACTTCACCACCTCTAAGAATTATTGGACAAGTAGTTATCCGGTGAATTGGAGATCTTAATCCAATAACTCACACTGAGTTATCTAGAATGATCTATCCTTTTTATATTTTGTTATTTTACAGGTAATGCACCAGCAATTTTGAACGTGAAGTCCTTTTTTTTTCCTCGGTAAGTAAGATAAATTTTGAACGTGAAGTCGTGAACAACTTTAGGTATAAATTTTTGTGAAAATTGGAGTTGACTCTTTCTTAAGAAATTTATAATAAATTTAATACATCAAAAAAATTTATTTAGAGATAAGTCTATTTTTACTCTTACTAGTTTTAACCCCTCAATTTTGTTTAATGTTCTATGTTACTACTTTTTATAGTGAGCGTATTACTGTTTTTTGTTTATTCAATGTTCAATATTACTATATTTGTTAAATGTTCAATGTTACTATCTTTTTTGAATATTACTTTTTTTTTTTCTGTTTTTGAATGTTATTATTTTACTGTTTGAATGCATCATTGTTCGTGTTGTTTGACCACCAATTTTGTTCAATGTTCTATGTTATTATTATTTTATTTATCATGATGCTATTTTTTTTTGTTATATATGTTATTTTTCAAAATATTAATATTCAATGTTACTATATTTTGTTTTTAAAATGTTAGTATTTTTTGTGTTTGAATCTACTATTTTTGTTTTGAATTTTGAATGTTACTATTTATATGTATGTGAGAGAGAGGGAGACAAAATATTCATAATCTATATATAGATATAAATTATGTTATAACCTTCTTGAAACCAAGGGTTCAAGTCCCCCTCCCTCTCAGAAAAAAAAAAAAAAAAGCTACAAATAAATTAAAAGTTACCCGTGCCTGAAGACACTATGTAAAAAAAAACAATAGCCCAAGCCACATCCAACTTGGTGTATATCACAATTCTACACCACCTATAACACACTCAAATCAAAATAACTATTATATCAAACAAAATTTTAAAAGTTGGTATGTCCCAACTATTATTTTTAAAAAATGTCGTCATAATTTCTTTTGAAAATATGATCCCTAAACAATATTGACTTGTGTGTACAACTTATAGAATCAGATTTTTATGTAAATAAACATGACTTAACTCAATAATCTCATCGCATCACATTAGTAATGCTATTAACACTATTTATAATACAAATATAAAATGAATTAACATCAAACTTAAACTAAAAAGAATAAGTAAGCACCAGGTGAATTGAGCAGAATTGTGTAAAAGCAAAACTAAAGGGGGTATGGGTTTCTGCGACTTGAGAACTTTCAACTTAGCGATGCTAGCCAAACAAGCTTGGCGAATTCACTATAAAACCAATTCCCTTCTTCATAAAGTGTTGAAAACCAAATATTTTCCGAATGATTCGTTTATGACTGCTAAGCTCGGATATAGACCCTCATACTCATGGAGAAGCATTTGTGAAGCTAGGAGAGTTTTAGAAGCTGGATCTAGATGGAGGATTGGCGATGGGTCCAAAATTAAGGTTTGGCATGATAGGTGGATTCCTACCCCCAACAACTTTTAAGGTTGTTACTCCTAAGAATACCCTGCATGACGAGGCCACAGTCAAGGATCTTATTGATTCAACAACTCAACAGTGGAAGGAAAGTTTGATCAATGAAGTTTTTCTAAGCCACGAAGCGGAGACGATCAAGCAAATTCTCTTGTGTTCCTCATTAATGGAAGATAAGCTCATATGGCATTATGATTCGAAAGGCAGATTTTCTGTCCGAAGTGCATATCATATCACATTTGATCAAAATCTGGCTCGCTCAACGAATCCTGAAGTTGCTTCTACATCCTCAGGTATCGAACATAATAACTGAAATTTCATTTGGAATCAAAAGTTACCAAATAAAATTAAAATTTTTGCTTGGAGAATGGCGACGAATACTCTCCCTACTAATGAAAATCTTATGCGAAGAAGGATCTGAATGGATGATATATGTTGTGTTTATGGAAAGGAAGCTGAAACTGTGATGCATATGGTGAAGAAATGTGCTTGGGCCAACAACTCATGAGAATCTAGTCCACTAACCTACCTGTTGTAGCGTTTTACAAGCCAAATCTATAGTTGGCTGTGGGAAATGTCGCAACAGATGAGCCCATATCATTTCTCCCTATTCTTGGTCCATTGTTGGTTAATTTGGAGGAATAAAAATGAAATTCTCTTTCAGAATTTGAAGAGAAACCCTGCATCATTAACTTATAAAGCAACTGAATATATTGCACAATATGAACAAGCATCAGAGTGCATTGTCTTGGCACCAGCAATAATAGAGGCCACCTCTCTGTGGTTCCCCCCAAACATAGGCTCTTTAAAGGTCAATTTTGATGGAGCCGTGTTCGAGGCAAAAAGAGCAATCGGAGTAGGCGTGGCTATAAGAGATGAACGAGGTATCTTTGTTGCTGGCTTGTCTAGAAAAATCCTCTCCCTCTGTGTAGCACAAACGACAAAAATTTTAGCTGCTAGGGAGGGCTGTCTATTATGCTGTGCAACGAGGCTGTGATAGAATTGTCTTGAAAGGGGATTCAAATAACGTGATGAAGATGCTTATAGATGTTGACAGTGAATTTGATCCCTTGGGCACTGTTTTAGTGGATATCAAAATTAGTCTACATACCTTTCGCTATTATTCTGTATCTACAGTTAGAAGAATAGGGAATATGGTAGCTCATAAGCTAGCTAGACACACTATTAATGTTGATTGTGTGGCTGTATGGGAGGAGGAGGCATCATCTTTCATTGTGCCCCTCCTTCTCTCGGATATTCTTATTTAATCAAAATCCTATCGATTCTATCAAAAAAAAAAAATAACCCCAAAAATCAAGCCACTATGCCTTTCCATCTTTGTACCTAACAGAATCGGCTCATACCTGAAACCAATATTGACCCACTATTTTTTAAAAAATTAATCGACAAAATTCCTCTAAAAACATAACTACTGAATAATATCACCCAATGTATATCATTTATATAATCAAATTTAGTAATTGGTGCAAATTTTTTTTAAAAAAAAAATGTCTGAAACCAATGATCGACGCACCATTGCACCACATTCTTGCTTTAATACAAACTACTTACCAACTACTGCAATATCATAATTCAAACATTTAACAAAATGTTGCACGTGATGCACTCACAAAATGAATAGCCATATATGAAAAGTATAATGGCATCCATGACATTCTAAAGAAAATTGTTTCAAACTGATTTCATATCACTAATGATGCTAAATATCGTCACCATAAAACCATAAAATAAATATCCAATTACTAAAGAAATCAAATAACTTTATTTAAAAAAAATGACTTTTTTACAGTCCAGAATAATTCCCATAGACCAAGCAAGAAGGAAATACGAAAGACAAACCAACTACATCTTGATTAAAAAAAACATTTTAAAAGTTCATGCAAACCATTTGATTCACACCTAGTGTTTGTTGAATTAGATCCATATTCACCACTTATTTTTCCAAGCATAGGTCTCCCCACAGAATTCTGCATGCACAAATAATGAGCAGTGACACATAAATCATAATGAATTAATTCAAATTCCTCATGGCTATGGCACCCAGCAAAATTCAAAACTTTTCTCCCCAAAACAGCCAAACAACCCCAACAAAATTCGAAACTTTTCTCAAAATCAAAGGCCGTCATACAACTCTTTCAAAACCACCTAGCAACACCTCTAACCACCACAAATATAGTTAGATAGAATTACAGATTGACTTGGAAAAAGCTTGAACACATGAGTAAAGAAAGACCCACCGCTAAAATGAAATTTGACCCAATTAAGTACAAAAAACAATATTGCAATTTTGCTAGGAACAGACTTCGCAAATACCAGGAGTTTCAAACTATACCATTGCCTTTAATAGTTCTCTTCAAATAGGTGTTCACATAGATAGACAAAAAGAAATAGAGATTGAATGACTTTTGTTTGAATACAATTTTGCAAGAAGAAGCACACATCATGAAAAGTCATACCCATCCAACAGTGATAACCAATACATAATAAACACATGGGATTTGCTGGCATGATAACTTGATCAAAATAAAGGAACTATTAGTATATTGAAATTGGCAACAAAAAATTACCCAAATTGATGACAATCCTTCATTCAAGCAAGAACACTTGATGAGTCCCACTGCGAAAGAAAGCCCGTAGCAGCTATGCTGGTGACTGGTGTGCAAGAAATATTCACAAAAAATGCTAGTGTGCAGGAAATAGTAATTCCGGAATTATTGGCAACACAATCAACAACTTGGCCATGAGAAAATGTACCTTTTACTTAGTGGAGCAACTTTTTAAAAATAAACACTACATTTAGTGATACTAAAGACAAAAACTCACTAAAAAGTACAAAAGCACAATAAATTACGACAGAGCAACTTAGTTGCTTAATTTTTAGCCAAGGGAACCCTAAAGACTAGATTTGCTTAATCCATTGTACAAAAAACTGCAAAGTAATGCATCAAAACACACCAATAATAACAGTGAAACCCACCATGGAGAATCTTACCCAAGCATACCCAGAAAAAAAAATCAATACCCATCCAGAAAAAAGGATAATCTACAATACTTTACGCAAAAGAAGGATAATCTATGAATTTAGGTACAGTAGTAACATTACAATCAACAATCAGTTGCATAGAAATTTAAAAATAATTCTAGTTTCTAATTTTTACCCGCTGAAAAATGTCAATGAAACAATAGTTAATAGTTAGATTGAGAATGAATTCCTTGCCTAATCTTAGAGTTTATAATAATGCAAAATGATGAATCAAGTGCATCGGAGCATCGAGAGTTGAAGGCATACCTATGTGAGAGATTCGTTGAGTGGCGTGGAATCGATCCTCAAGTAGCTACATGAGAAATGTTAAACCATTGTATTGAAGAAGAGAGCGAAATGCAAAAAATACCTCTATTTCGCCCAATGCCAATCAATGTCATATTAAAGAAAGCAAACCAAAGTGAAAGTCTCATTCAGCAATGCACATTGCAGAATTAACTATATATCTTCCTAAACAAATAGAGCAAAAATCCTAAATACTAAGTTGATCAGATATCTCTAATACTTCAGCAATCAACATAATTCACTAATTCTTTGTGAAATAACATATTTCCCTGTTAAGAAATAAATAAGAGAGATAGGGAAAAGAAAAGGAATTAACAAAATCACTAACCCCAAAATGTTTCAATGACTGGAATAGTTTGAGATTCGCATTTGCTGTATATGTTGCGTTTCATACAGAGCCCACTGAGAAAACCATATTTTTACAATTCAAAACTCAATCAAAACAGCATGAAATTAAATTAAATAAAATAAAAAAATTCCAAACTAATGTGATAACTCTACACAACCAAGAATAGATTACCGATTCCACAAAGGGAAATTAAAAACTGGATCAATTACATCAAGCTTGCCCTAATCGATATAATAAAACCCTAGGTTTTGTACAATTATAATCAGAGAGAGTGGTCGGGTTAATCAACGAAGCCGCTGAGGCATAGAGGGAGACATACCTGGGTAGCGTCGAAGGCGGTGAGTCAAAGTCATCGTGGCTGTTGGTGGCATCGCGGTTGTTGTTGGCGGCTTGGTTGTGATGATGCAGAGAGGGTGCAGAGAATGATGAGGGAGAAGAGAGGGATAGATAAGAAAGAGGGACGTGAGATTAGGGCAGAGAAAGGGGAAAAAAGAAGGGGAGAATGAGAGAGCAAGGGGATCCTTTCGGGTGTGATGTTGGTGGCTTTGGTTTGGGTAAGTGGTAGTGAAATTAATCAGCGAAATTAAGAACAAAATCAACAATGAAATCAGGGGGATTGGTGTGTGGGTGTCACTTTGTGTGGCTCTGCTGCTGTGCGTGTGCGAGTTTGAGTGCATTTTACAGTTTGTGTGCTTGAGCAAAAAAAGGGGGAGAGATAGCGAGAGGAAAGACATACCTGAGCAGCAAGAGATACTGAGATGCACAACGAGAGATGCTCAGGTAAAGAATAGGGAGGACGAGAGAGAGAGATAGAACAGTAACTTCACAAAGTATGGAGAAAGAAAAGACATTTGGGAAAGACATTACGACAAGATTAGGGAAAAATATATTTCCTAGTTGGAAAAAGAGATCAGAGGTGATCGACTGGGTTCGCCGAGAGGGAACGAGAGAGAGAGGGCGCGTGCTAGGCAAAAGAAAGTAACTGGTAAGGGGGCGAGATATTAAATGGAATAGAAATTTACAAGTAATGGATAATTTGAACCCCAGTAATCAATGTGTATGAACTTACCCACCAGGCAGGTATCCCACCATGGGCTGACGCGTGTGGACCGTCCCATTGACTATGGGTTGTCATGGTAACGGGTCAGCCCACGATCCGCCGCCCATTTTCCAACCCTCGTTATTTACTAGTTTACCCCGTAATTGCCTGTGGTCCAATGGTTGGGCTACAGTCAACGAACCTCACGCCAGTCAGGTATTGACCAGGACAGATATTCGGGAAACAGACCATATAAACAGGATGGCCCAGACCCTGAGGCCCCAGTATTAATGTGACCCGACCAATACCACCGACCTAGTGACTCCACCCATTTCACCGCCATACTGGTCCTTATTAATTTGGTTCTGTCAGCGAAAATAACAAACTTTTCGATCTACTGATTGCCGCCAAAGCAAGCCCTAGGCACGGAGTACAGACTCTAGAGTCACAAAAATGGAAGAAGAGTCGCTGCGAATTCGTAGATATGAGGAAATTCCATCGGTCGAAGAGTTTTCGTCTCAGATTGAACCCAAGAACGTTCCTGCTGTAACCATCCGATCAGAAACCCTAAAACCTTTTGTTACTTTGTGATTCCCAGTTATTGCTGTTGATATTTACTCCTTTTTTTTTTTTCCCGTTTTTCATGAAGGTATTTAGTGGATGCATCAAGAACTGGAAGGCTTTCTGTAATTGGAACCCTTCCAACGGCGGCCTCGACTATTTAGAGGTATTACGAAACTTTCTATAAGTTTTGAGCAATTGTAAAATTTAGGCATATTCAGAGTTCAGTTAGCAATAGTTATGGTAGGCAAGGTTGTGTATCATCCGACTGATAGACTTGGGTCTCTAATTCTCAATCTTTATCACCCAAGAACTCTGCCTCGACGAGTTAGGGTTGCAATCCTTTTACAGTTTTGCATCTGCACTTTCTTTTTAGATGTATCATCTATATGTTCTTGATGCAATGTCATTTATGTACGTTAACTGAAGTTTGTACTTGCTTGCAAATTCAACTATGGGAAATCAGGAACGAGTGGGGTCATCAACCGTGGAGGCTATGCTATCCAAATCGGCACCAGTCTTTGATGGTGCTATTAGAAACCATGAGAGGGTAATTCTGTATGCCTTTTAAAATATTTATGCCAATGCGGAACTTTGAAATTCTCTTTTTATTGGATGACATCGGTCCAACTTATTTTATTTTTCATTTTTTTTTGTAGGTTCCATTGCCATTCTCTACTTTTATTGGATATTGTTGGGAAATTTTCCAGAATCAAGATAATGATATTTGTTTAGAATCAGAGAGGCATGGGTTGGCAGGGTCCAACATAGACCATGGAGGTTTGCTCTCTGGAAATGCCCATCAGCAATTATATTTAGCCCAGGTTGCAACTTGTTGGTACTTTAGAATGATAAATTGCTCTCTTGCTCTTGTTATGTATATGATTCTACACTGTTTCTTTTTTTTTTTTTTTTTTTTTTTTAGCGTTTTTGTGATTCTAGAAATATTGTGGCACTGTGGCAGTGATGTTGGTACTTTATCTAGCCCACTCCTTGTTTTAAGGGGATCGATGCTACAAATTTGGGACATGATTTAATTGCTTATGATGCAGGTGCCAATTATGAATGTTGAGAATGAAGAGAGGAATCAACTGGAACGTCTAAGAGAAGATATTGAAACGGTGCGTATGGTATTTGCTGCATTCTGTAAGCTTGGGCCGTGTGCCTTGTTTAGTCCATTGGGCTTATCATCAAAACACTTTATGCATTTCCTTGGAATTTGATTCCAGATACTTCTCATTAAATCGTACAGCCTGCATGTTTGAAGGCGAAATCCATAGTTTCTGTGAATTTGTGGATGAACAGCGCTCAAGCTAGATCAAGCACTCACTATGATCCACACCATAACCTTCTTTGCTTAGTCACTGGAAGCAAAAAAGGTTTGTTATTCCTCAATTACTGAAAGAGCTTGTTTTCCACTCATGTGCTCTTTGTAAGCTTGTGGTTGCATCGTTTTTTTTAGTTAGGCTTTGTTGGTAGTAAGTTAAAAAAATTGACTTGTTTTACCAAAAAGAAAAAGTAAAAGATGGACGGAAATTGGTCATAATGACTTTTGATGACTGTATCTTGTTGGTTTTCTCGGCCTAGGAATTTAAAAACTGGCTTTTTTTTGTGCAATGGATTTTTTAAGGAAGAAATATAACAGATGTTTTGTTCTTTAGAACGTAATTGTTTTCATTGTATGCTTTTATAGTTGATATTCCTACTTTTTCTTATCAAAGAAAAAAATGAGAATGTGAAAATTTCCGGTTGTTCACTACAATTGGATAACAACTTAGAATATTCCATGATTTTGGGTTGCTCATGTGACTTATTGTGCAACTCCTTAAATTTCGATTAGAGTATTGGTCCTGGGGAATATTAAACAAAGAGATAAAGATATTATAAAAAGGAGAGCATTAGGTCTTGTTTATTTGTCTGGCTTTGCCATTAATACGGTTCACATATTGTCAAATCCATGTCAGGATTTGACTGATGGTTGAAACTATTTGACTTGTCATCAATGAATCCATCACTGAGACTGTCTTGTAAGATTCCATGATTTTTTCAATTACAACTTCTCTAAATGGCAAGCAGTCCTTTGAGGAAGATGTTTTATTAATGTCTGATTAAAACGAACTCTCACTGCACTGATATCATGGAATCATGGGCTTAGATGAGAGTGCTTCCATGCCGACAACAATTAGAATGTCCACCCCTATTTTTCTTGCCGATCTTGATTCGATCTCCTTACATTTGTTGGAAACCTTGAAAAGATTTGGAATTTGGCCTTTGCATCTTGGAATTCTGCATCCTCATGGATGCATCCCATGGATGAAGTACAGAAGGCTGGTGCTTTATGCTTAAGAGATGTCTTTATGGTTGGGAATTTCAGTTGGTAATTGATATCAGTGTTATTTAAGGCGTAAAGCGAACCGAAGCTACCAAGGCTCCTAACGCCTAGGCGAGAAGCGAAGCGACACGCTTTACAGAAGCAAAGCGAACAGTTAAAAAAATATATATTTTAGTTTAATTACTTCTAAACAATCTAAGTTCTAATTTTATATATACTAAATATTTAAATGCAAGTAAAACCATAAACATTTAAATTAAAAAAAACACTAATAATATCTCAAATCTAAATAACAGTCATAACTTAAACATTTAAATTCAAACAAATACTAACAATTGTATACATTTTTATATTGACAGGGTAGGACAACAAAAGAAGCACAATCAGGACAACAACAGAATTAGCAACAAAAAAAAAAAGAAGCAGAATGAGGATAAAAAAAAAAAAGCAACACAGGACAGCAAAATCGAAGCAGCAACAAAATCAACAAAAAAAATAGAAGCAGAATGAGTTAAAAAAAAAACAGAAGCACAATGATCATGACAGGAGCAGAATCAATTGTAAACAATTTCATATGTAATTATATACTGAATAAAAAAAAGCAGAACAGAGGCACATTTCACATGTACTAAAATAATTAAACATGGTATAAGCATAGACCACTTTTTGATACTATTTGTATATATATAAGAAAAGGGAAAAGTATAACCAAGTCATATCAGAGACACTTCTTTGTAGAAGAATCTATTATTTACCCCCATTTCTGATACTCCTGTTTCCTTTTTTTATCATAATTGTCATGCAGTGCAGTCGCCTGACTCTCACATCCCACAAATATTCTAAATGAATTCAGCAACACAAGAAAAAAAAATGAATGTGTTTTGTTTGAAACATTGTTGTGTGTGCAGGATCTTGCACAATATAAAAAACGAGAACAGATCTCTCCCTTGGTGAACTCGAGTGAGTCAGTTGAGTGGTCAACCACGCTGCTTGGGATAGCCTGTGAGGTCCGGTGGTAACCTGGAACGGCAACGGGAGACCCTCGTGGATTGAAGGAACGATCCAGTAAGGCTGGAGAAAGGTTCCTAGAACAAAGAAGAACAAGTTAGAAGGGCGCCAGAGTGTTTTTCGGCTTATCCCCTCCGACGATCAAGTCAGTTTTTGAAAGGGAGAGGAAGAAGAAAGCACTGAGTATATTTCGTAGTAAAGAGTTTTTGTTGCCTACCGTCTTGCCTTTTACGAGGAGTATTTATACCTCAAAAGCTCATGATTGTTGTCAGTGTTGTCAGTAGGTGATCATTAGGTACAGACAGTGTGTGCACTGATTCTGATGAGGAATGTCTTCTCTTCTTTAACTGCTCGGAGTCCTGAGCAATCAATGTTGTGTCATCGGGCTGCCGACTGTCCAATGAGCTCCACTCGGGGAGGATGCAATAAATGCCCAGCCTTAGAGACATTTATTGCCTTTCAATTCCGAGCCTTACCGCATTGAATGCGGTCTCATCAAGGGAATAGTGTAATTAAATGTTTGCTTTCCCAAGTTGCATGTCAGTAAGGGCATGCGGTCTTTCTATCTCTGATGTGACACAATTTGCCACGCGTCCATCCCTCATTGGCTGTGGACTCTGCCTTCCTGTGCCTTCTGACATCAATTGTGTAAGACGAGACCATGATAGCTAATCTAGACTAGCCTAGGCTAATGACCTGTACATCAATAGCTTATACTGGAGCAGAGAAAAGGCATCCTGGACGGGGGTACATCTCTGTACCGAGGATGATAGGTACATCTCGAGCCGAGGGGAGCTGTACATGTCGACCGAGGTACCATATCAGACCGAGGGATACGTGTCGGGTTCGTAAAACGTACTGACCACCTGTCAAGTACCTCGGGGGCGAGGGAGTTGTAAACCGATGGTACGTGATCTCAGTAACCGGATTTTTAGTGACGCCGAGGACATGTGTCTTCATCTTGGAGTATTTCAGAAAAATCCCATCAATTGTTTATTAGGAAAAAAAAAAAATAGACCAGCAATAGTCTAAAAAAAAAGTCATTAGTGATTAAAAAATAAAAGAGACTACTAACCTGTAATCAGGGAAAAAAAAAAAAAAAAAAAAAAAGTGAAGCAGAATCGCTTTTTATAATAAAGCGTTCGCTTTTTCGCTTTTTCTCGCTTCGCTCACGTTCGCTTCGCCTGGGGTCCTCCAGGCGAGATAAGCTCGCCTCGCCTCACTTCTCGCCTAGGCGAGCTTTTCAAAACACTGATTGATATTACTTTCAAACGTTCACCTTTTGGATTATATGCTGGCGCAAAATTGTCTTCTTTAACTTCTGTTGAGCCTTGTCTAAGTTCATTTTATATCCATCAAAGAGGATATGAATCAACCATATTCTCAGTGGAATAGTTGTTAGTAGAGCTGTTGGAGTTTTGGTTTGATGGTTTTCATTTCCATGGTGCTTTTTGCTTCAGGTGTGTGGACCACACTTCATCCTTCCTCTGTCCTTTTTTTTTTTTTTGAATAAGTTGGAATGCTTTGGCCTCTTTGGTATTGTGGTAGAGGTTTTTTTTTGGGGTGTTTTCCAATTAAATATTTTTGTCTATATCAAGTTATGAACTAAAGAAAGGAACAAAAGAGAAATATTTTAGATTGTGCTTTTACACCTGCAAATTTCTTGTTATTACATTTTTTTTTTATAGTTACCAGATTTCACATTCCGACTGTGTTTTAAGGTCATAATATATGAACTGATTCTCTCTGCGTGTGTATGTGTTTGTCTATTGGTGGACAACATTTTTTGCTTTTCAGTTGTCTTATGGGCCCCTTCTGCAAGCTCCTTCTTGTATCCAATGCCTATATATGGGGAGGCCTCAAACCACTGGTATGTCATTCTCTGTATTTATAATAGGTAGTAAATTTTAGTTTCTTTCTCTAGTCCTTGAGAATATGAATAAAGTGCTTCTAATTTGTTACTGAGATTTAGGGCTCTTTTTTCAGTGTTCTATTTTGACTTTCTTCTTTATTTTTTGTAGTGCTGTGGCATTAGAAAGACCTGATCTTTCAGTTCATCCAAGAGCAGACCGGGTGATGGAGTATTCCCAGAAAGTTATTCTTCATGCAGGCGATGCACTTTTCATTCCTGAAGGCTGGTGAGCTTTAAAAATTAATTATTTCCAAATGATCTTAAAATTTTATTCTCCTTTTTCCTTTAATCTTAAAAGCCTCATTTTAATTAACCCAAGATGTACACCACAATAAGTTTGCATATTGCATTAGCTTTAGAAGTTAATGAAACTTGGTGAAAGAATTTGGTTTGATCATATATTATTGATTTAATATGAATTCTTGTGCCAGCCTATGGAATGTAGGTGTAGGGGAGGGAGAGAGTTTAAAAATGTTGAGCAGCAGCTTATTCTTGAATTTAACTTGCTTTAACATATGATTTTGTTGTGAAATATCTGCATCAGTAATTTCAATTTTTTTGACTTGTACATTTGGTATATGGAAATCATTTTACATATTAAAATAGTCACAGAAGCAATTACTTACTAACAAGTTTTGCGGCAGATGTAATTGGTTCTTGCAACATATGGAATTTGATAATAGATGATTTTTTTTTTTTTTGGGGGGGGGGGGGGGCATTAAGATAGCAATGCACAAGAAGTTATTAGCAGCTTTGCTTACTTTGAATTACCTGCACTCTCCTTATGCATCTATTCTTATCTTTGCAATTTATCATGGGCCTCTCCTTTGTTGGATTGTATATCTTCATATCATTCTCTCTACCTCAATTTACAAATTATTGTCTTTTTCAAAATTTCAGAGTCCTTCCACATGTGACTTTACAGGCTTTTACTGTTATCACGAGATTCATGAATGGTCCTCAACGCAGACAATAAAACTATAGCTTGATGCATCTCTCTCGAACCTGCTTATGCACAAGGAACTAATTTTGTTTCGTAAACAATTTTCAAGAACTTTTTTGTATTTTCATCTTGCTTTTGAAATGTTTCTAAAATATTACGAACACGTTTATGTTTCTAAGCTAATTGAAGTTATGCACCGAAACGAAATTTTAAGCCTTGCTTATGCAAATATTGCCATTGGTTTATGTTTTATTATTCTTGGAAAATGAGTCATTACTCATCTTTCTTTTTTGTTGTTTTTTTTGAAATGTCCTGTTTATGGGATTTGTAGTTCAATTATTGGGCTTCTGAAAGTAGGCATCAGTTGGACGTGCTCTGGATTACTTCTCCTTTGGCTTCTACCCTTGCTTTCTGTCCATGGCTTCTATCAACACTTTTAATCATGCAAACATGTACTTACTTAGTCTTGCCCCTTAGAAGGAACTCATTTACAAGACTAAGATGCTATATGTTGAATGTATCCAATAAGGGGTGGCCAGTGCACGAGGCTCCTGCAGCAATGGGATCTAAAGGGTCATATGGGGATGTAACCTGAACCCCAGATGTGGGGATTTTGTTTCTGCAAATTTTTTTTTTTTGTTTTGGGGTTTTTTTTTTTTGGGGGGGGGGGGGGGGATTTGAACCCTTGACGGAGGTAAGAAGTACCATTGCACCAAAGGCCCGTTGGTACCACAACTTGAATCCTTGACGTGGAGGTCACAATGGAGTAACTTTATTTATGCGCCAATATTTAGCAAATTTTTTGCTGAGAGTTGTTTTGCCAAACTGATGTTTGTGCACAAATAAATGAACATTTTCTGGGCAGGCGAAGGATGTACACTGTAGAATCCTTGAGAAATCACTGCAACCTCTGCAGGATGTCTTAAGGGAGGGTTTTTTGGTGAACGATCAGACAACCATTGTGTCTTTTTGTACATTGCAATATAGGCAAGATCAGTGATAAATGAGCAGGATTCACTGCTTGCAAAGCCTATGAGCTTAATAGACTTAGTTTCATTTGTGGTGTACCTCTCACCCACTTATAACAGGATTCGTCATCCCATTTTATTTGTTAATGCTTTGTATTATAGTAGTAATAGCCATCAGACTTCTTATTTTTATTTTTATTTTGTAAATATTAATACCCCAGGTTCCACCAAGTGGACAGTGACAATTTAACCATTGCTGTTAACTTTTGGTGGCGGTCCGAAATGATGTCTACCATGCCCGAGCACATGGATGCATATTATCTTCGCAGGATATTAAAAAGGTAGTTGTGGTCCTTCTACCTTTCAAAATGGTTTTCCTTTCCATTTTTTTTTCTTTTTTTAATCACTAGCTAATCTATAAGCTAATACTTTTTTTTTTTTAACTTTTTCTCCATGTTTGGTCCTTGAATTGATTAAAATTGAAGACTGACGGACAAAGAAATGGTAGGCATTTTTCAACTTTAGTCTCAATTTCTGCAAATAGGTTTAATGATGCTGGGTTGATTTGAACAAGAGTTTCTGCAATGCTGTTCCATTTTGAAAATTGTTGGTTATATAAAATTTGTCGACACTTTTTGTATATCTTTGCGATTTTGAGTTTGCAACATTGATGGTAACTCTTGCTTCCAGAGGAGAAAAAAAAATATTCTCATGCAATAATGGGTAATCACATACGTTTCCTGCAATTGCTGGTTGGAGTTTTATCTGATAGCCTTTTCAGTTCTATTTGAATTTGTTAACTGTCCTCTTACTGTGTGGGTTGCTGCTGTCAATATTTCGAAGAGTCTTTATGGTCACATTTTATCCCGGATGAACTTCATTGTTTTGGTTTGCTAACTTTGACTTGCATGTTTGAGCTAATTCCTTTTCAGGCATTCATATTTAAGGATAGTATTCATTATTGTATCTTGAAAATTAAATTTATTGTCAAATGCTTATCCGAGTAATCTTTTTATTAGAAGTTTATTATTCAGCACTATAAATTGGCATTTCTTTCTTTTATGACCAGGGCAGAACGAAATGCTGCATATGGTTTCAACGGTTAAAATGGCAAACACAATTGGCCAGCCCAATAATGGAAATGCAGGTTGGCTTAATCACCACGTCCCCTACTTACAAAAAGGAAAAAAAAAACTGAATGCCCATGTGTTGTTTTGGCTGGGGGTTAGTAAAATGTATGGAATTATCCTGAGTTTTTTTTAGGGGAAGGCAACTGGTCCTTTTTCCTGTCATTGTTTCTCACAATTAAAGGGAAATTTGTTGCTTACATTCATGTTGATGTTAATATTTTACCTACTTGTTAATTTATTTACCAGATCTTGTTGAGCATTTGGATCAGAACTATGACAGCAAAATTTCAAAAGCAACTATGCTAAAGGAAAAGATTATGTTGCACGAACTGGAACCACTTGCGCTTCAATCTCTTCATGAACTTATTTCTATAGTCCATGAGCGTGTTAATGTTGGCAATCAAAGCCAGCCAAATGATTCCACCTCAGCAAATTATCCAGAAATGGGAGAGAAAGATGAAGCTAAGAAAACTTTTCAAGCGAATATATTTAACTTGGAAGAGAATCCAGTTGCTAGTATACTTTGGAACCTCCAACCGCTTACTCTTCAAAGTGTTTTTCTTGCCATGGCTGTGAGTTCATGCTCTCTTTCAAAGGCTGACCTTAATTGTTCCTTTATATTTGGGCAAATGGTATTGTAATTTATGGTGTGAGTCCTGTTAAATTTATTCCATTCCTTTATATCTATTGTGACTTGGCATGCCTTCTTTACTTCCAAAAGGAGATTTACAATTGTCGGTCGATGGTGTGTTGCCTATATTAAAAAAAAAAAAAAATCCTGATAAAAGAAAGAAAGATGTACAGTGCTTAAGGATGCAGTATGCAACAGTAGTGGAACACAGTTGATCTTGATTAAGTTGAAGAAATTGGATTACTTGGGGGATAATACTCGTTCCTTGCATCTGGAATGATGTTCTTCATTCCTTTGATTCATTGCCCACCTAGATAACCTGTACAATGAGTTCGCTTTGCTAGGGAACATATATAGCAGCAAAATCAATTTTAACTTTCTTTTGGTAGGAGATTCTGTATTTTTGCTAAATTAAACGAGGCCCCATCACTTCTGATCAATGTTTCCATGTCTGTATTTTTGCTAAATTAAATGTTCCTTTCAATTCGTTCTCTTTCCTGTTAATACTTTCATGGCTGGTATGTTGAACCCATTTTATTTTGTTTAGATTAGTTTAGTGTCTTTTTGTTCGGTTTGGTTTTATTTATCTTCTTCCCCACTTTTTGGCCTGAGACCACTTTGTTTGTGTTCAACTGGTATATTTATTTACAAGGTTTTGCCATTATCAGTAGTAGCTGCTGCTACTCCCCAGTGATTCATTTTCTTCTTGTCAGTTATGTACTTGTAGATCCAGCTTTATGATTACACTATTTCCGTGTTGAACAATTGCCTTGTTTCTTTTTCTACCATTGCATCATTTTAGTTTTTCTATTTTTCAGCACAACTTCCCGAGAACTTTGGAGGCTTTGATATTGCACTTGCTTTCACCAGTGGGGGCAGAAATTCTTACTCGGAAATTCGATGAGATGGATCAACTGACTGCTGAAGAAGATCGGTACATGTTGATTTCATTTTTTGCAAAGACGATGTGACAATGCACATGACTTCGGTGTGTAATTTACCTATTATGTTTTCAGGAACCAATTCTACCAGATTTTTTATGGTGTATTTGATGACCAGTTTGCTGCAATGGATGCACTTCTGAATGGGAAAGAGTCCTTTGCGCTTCAGGTATTTAACAATCTTATTGCTAGACTATTGGGTAAATCCTTAGGTATTTTGTATGTATGTCATAACCCACCAAAAAAAAAAAAGGAGTCATATCCACCAAAAAGAACAGGATTCTCCCATGAGCAGTTGGTTTTGGGGGTGGGGTGGGAGTGGGAGTGGGTGGGTGACAGGGTGAGATTGGCAAAGGAGTCCCGAAACAAAATACCTTATGTCAAAGTATCAAGGCCATGGATCTTCTCTTGCATTTACTTACTTTTTTAGAAGATAAATAACGTAGCATGTCAGTTGGACTGTGTTATTATGACGGGCCTTTCGGATTAGAAGCAAAGAGAAAACATGAAGTTGGCACAACCATGAGTGGCCCTTCACTGCAGAGAACATTAACTGGCCCAGCTACCGAATCAGTTTTTCTAGATTCTTTATGATCTTATGCAGTTTTGATGCCATGGAAGTGACTTGTGGACTCGGTGTTGCCTTGAAAATTGTTCATCATCTAGTCCTGCTTAAGAAAATTGTATAGTTCTATATGTTTGTTACCAGAAAGGACTCTTGTTCTCTTCTTGCTTCTTTATCTTTTCTTTTCAAGTTAGATGATGGTTAAGCTGCGAATGCATCTTTATGCCCAATTCCATCCTCATATGCAAGCTATTACAGGATTATGTATAAAATCCTTTTACTGCCTGAATTTTAAGATCTAAAATACAATAGAACTTATGGGTGATACATAAGGAATTTTTAAATGAGCCACGACGCCGTTTTTTATGACACTGACACTTAATGAAAAGGATCTAAACACAGGTTTTGATGTGTTCTGTTTCAGGCCTACCAGAATGTGTTGGATAAATACTTGGTAATTAATTTTGATGGGGCTAAGTCATTGGTTTGATGAGACATCTATGGACATGGACTTCGAAGAAATTGGTTCCATAGTTGTCTTGCGAGTCCAAATTTATTCACTGTCGCAACAGAGAGGCTCTTCCCCCCCCCCCCCCTTCTTTTTCAATTCTTACTTGAAAATGTGAGTCTTCTGCTGTATTCTAGAATGAGTTCCATATTAACTTTGGCTGTCGCATTTGTGTACATTTTTTGTGATCTGCTACTAGTAATGCTGTTCTTTTGAAATGTCGCAAGTACAGTGTAGTGTAAGATACAAAATCTGCTTTGTGCTTAATTGCAAGTGTTTTGAATGAACAGTCAGAGATGACGACATTGTTTGACAAATAGAACTGACAAACTGGAAAGCTTAATTCTGCTGTGGATGTAAAGATAAAGATGGTTTAAAGGTAAATACCAATGACTTTTTTTTGGCTGGAGAAATAGTGAGAGACAGTAGTACTTTGTGGAAGTTATGGCTGTACATAAATTGGCATAGTAACAAGAGGTCTAATCTTGTGAGATATTTCACTTAAATGTTGGTCTTGTGTTACCCAAATCAATTTCTAAAATGTTGCTTTTAGTAATGAGGGGTGAGATTATAGTTAAGCGTAGGGTGCTTCAGATGAAATCAGTTAGAACCTTTCTAGCTAATGATTTTCAGAAACTAGGGCTCTTTTTCTGCAGATCACACTTAGTTAACGGTCTCTATAAACTATTTTTTCTTGTGGGTCTTCTTGGGCTATCCTCCTTTCAGGTTTGCTTTTCATAATCCATTCTTGTTGAATACTGAATTCGTCATTACATCTTTGAACCTTTTGAAATCAGGGAAAATAATGAGAATGAAAAGGGCTTCTACTTAAGTCTTTAAAGTAAAGCTATCAAATATGAAGTTGATGTTGGAAGAGGCTATGAAATGTCTTAGCACTTCATCTATTGGGTGGTGATACTCAAGAGGAGTGTAGAAAGGAGGGAAGTGCATGGGGATTTGCAGCAGAAGGGGAAAAGAGAATAGCATAGAAAAGAAGGTTTGGTAATTATTGACATTGGAAGGGAAGAAAAAAAAACAAAAGGCAGTTCTGTGGAGATGAGATTCCCTGACGAAAGATGACATATGCAAGTCTGTGTGAGAGAGGTAGAAGAGAGTAGAGAGTGGGGAGTAGAAGTGAAACTTTTTGTTTGTCTAGTTGTGCTGCAGAGGGAGATAAAAAGAGGCAATCTTTTTTAGTAGGCAAATGGTATGTATTGTACCTTAACCCTGCAACTTACCTATACTTTCTAAAAGCTTGGATATACCATAATGCCCAGCCCTCCTTTCATTAATTCCTAGGCCCACTCCTCCTCCTCCCCATTTAGATTGCTGAATTTACTAATTTTTTTCCTGTATGACATTATTGTATTGATTTATGCACCTCTCTCTCTCTCTCTTTCTCTAGTATTTTGGATATATTTTTTTTCCTTCACGGCATGGTAGTCAATTTATCCAGCTATTTACGAAATATCCGCGCTCTATTTTATGCTGTTGAAGTAATATTATTTGTTTACCATTTTGTTCTACTGAAATTAAAGCAAATGAGGGAGAATGATGTTGAGTTACTTTCCATGATCTTGTATGTGAAACCGTGAAAGATATTATGCCAATAAATACATGTAATAGTGTGAGAAACATGCTTGTTGATGAGGACTTTAGAGTCCTCTGGTTCAGGTCGAATACAGGACTAAGATTATGAGAAAGGTGGTGGTGTTACTTGTATGTTGAGGTGCCAACAAAGGGTGTGTAATATGGGGTCGTGCACGGAATTTGAGAAAAGAGTCATCAAGCAAAAAAGAGGAGTGAGAATCGTGATTCCGAACTTTCAAAGATCCGTTGTGCATCTTTGTCATAACTGTTGACATTTTCATCATCTTTTTTTTTCCTCTTTATTTTCTTTTCTTTTCTTTTTTTTTCTCCCTTTTGGGTCATGCACCACCACCAAATCCCGGACCACCACTAACACTTGCTCAAACACAACTGTACCCATCTAGTTAGTCACCTTTATACCCACGCTTACAATAGGGTTTACAGCCTCTCTACTTTGCTTTGGAAAAGTCTACATTACTTTGATATTTGAATTTATCCAAAAATTCTTGAATTACTACCAAAAAAAAAAAGGGGCGAAGAGGAAAAGATTTTCTCGATAGTGATTGTTCTTTATTATGGCGTTGGAATTTGAAAAGAGTGATGGAGAATTTCAATTGAGCCAGGGTATTATAATTATTTAGCTTTCTCGGGATTTATTTGTCATTGCATTGATTTGGATAAGAGAGAATTTCGTTTTGTCAAACATGGGTTATGTAGATAAATGAAGATTGATAATGACCCATTTAAATTCCTCTCAAAGGACCCATTATGCTTAGGATACTATTTATTTGGACCACGTTCCAGGACAATAATGTGGTCTCTGAGAACAATGGTTCTACTCTATTATCGGTCGGTGAAGCAATTGCTTCAGGTTTATTTATTTATTTATTTTTAATTACAAGGTGTCTAGGTTTATATCAATTATTTTCTCGAGCTTGAATATTGATCACTGTATTGTGCGTAAGTTTAGAATATGTTCTATGAAAAATAAGTATAACCGACTCTCAAAGGGTATGAGAAGTATTGAGTAATTATTTTAGTTGCCTCTCCATGTAATGTCCAAAAAAGTATTTGAATAAGACTTCATAATCTGACCTTGTAAATTGATATATAGTTCAATTGAATTATTTTAACTGTAAATTTTAGTTTTTATTGGGAATATATGATCTGTTACTTATTAAATCAGGACATTAGATGAGATTAGCAAATTTTCAAGAGCCTCAAATACAATTAGGCACTGTGGTTTCGATCGTTTTGATGGGGTTGGGAGGAAGGGTAGGTTTGGCAATCCAGAAGAGAGTACAAGATATGGCCTACCATCCACCGACGGACATGCTTACCTCATACTGTACTTGGGGTGCATAGCTACTTTTGATCCTGTCCTGTGTTCATATTCCACGCTCTCTATGATCATTTTGTTGATTGTAAGGGGTGTGTATTCGTTGTATGACTCCCCCATTATGCTATCTGTAATGTACTCCTATGTTTATGAGGTGTCCCTCAGTTCATCCGCAGCATCTCGACCTGTCTTTTGTTGTCTTATATGATTTATATAATGATACAAATATATATATTTTTAATAAAATAGGAAAAATTATTTTGAAAATGTGAGATTGGGGAGGTAGGTCGCATAGAAGAGATGCTTGCAAGCACCCGTGGTGCTACCACTAAAAGCCCAAAGGAAAAAAAAAAAAAAAAAAAGGGGGGGATGGGGGGGTGTTGAAGTAAATAAAATTGCAGGTCAAGGACTGGAGTTGAAGACTCCATTCTGTGTTGTCTTTGAGAATTGATGTAGGATTCACCCTAGAACTTACCCTTTCCCGGTAGGATTGAGTAATAAAACTATTATGTTTGCTGAATTTTTTTAGATAATTGGAGTTTGCTACAGGTTCATCAAAGCTTATGGTGGTAAAGAACGGCAAGCCCCTATTTTGAAAGGGCACTTCAACACTTGGAGGAAGTCATATGTTGAGTCACAAACCAAGAACTCCATTTTGTTAATTTTATCATATAGAATACAACTCCATCTCAAACAAATCAAGAACTCTATCTCAATAAAAGAGTTTGACCATGGCTCAGAAGACACGTTAGCCATATAATTTGAACATTGTTTTCAAGGAATTGGACAGAAGGAAGAAAAATTAGCGCTAGCGCCATTAATGATGCAGAATGCTTTTATATATAGAGAGAGAGTCAAAGGAACTTTTGTTGGCAATTCTATAATTGTAGGCAACCTACTCGACTTAATGATGATCACATATGAGATCGCACGAGACTACTTTGATTATGAGTCGATATGGCCCTAAAATACATATATTTTGTTTATTTGGTCTATTGATTGACCTTTCTGGAGGCAAAAATATTAAAAGTGTTTACTGTTGCTCCGAGCCAATTGCTATGTTTTCAATTGTTTAAGCAATTCTCTTAAAATTTCACTTCTTTAAGCAAATCTCTTAATAGCATGAGAGAGAGAGAGAGGTTTTTCCACCTTTTGCACGCAATTTGGTTATTAGATTAATTTTTTAAATTAAGTTTAAATAATATTTTTCTTAATAAACTATTTAGAAGCAAAGTAACAATTAACTTATTTAAAAATAAATAGAAAATTTCAAGAACCAAAATAATGCAAACAAAAATAAATAGATCAAAGTAAAACGGAAGGCATAATTTACTCTAACCATTTCAACTGAAAAAAATAAAATAAAATAAAAGCATAGATTCTTCTGTCTCGCTCTCTCTAGGGATATTTTTGTCATTTCAATGAATAGAGATCGGAGAATACTGTTTTACGTCCCTCGATAATCAATCTGTAGCTTTAACAATTCCCCCAAGTTTCCGAGGCTGCAGGCTCGGTAAAACCAAAGCTTTGATGCTTCAACAATGAGTGGTCACGGTCATATGTCGGGAATTCTACATCCCCCGTGAACGATAGCAGATTCCTCACGTTCACGTTAACATCAACATTCCCATTGCCACCACCACCTCGCTGATGATCTCCTGTCAAACCCAGAAAGTCCCTGGTCAGACGGTCACTTTTCTGCCATGTAACAAAGTTTTCCGGCGTGAAACTCAGGTATTCCTGCGAGATTCTTGTGCTCAAGTGACCCATTGTGCTTATATCCAACTGCGTCGCAGTAGAAGGCACTTGACCAACCGTTTGTGCACCAAGCGTTGCAGCCTTTTGGAGGAGTGCGGTGGCGGAGAGGTGGGGTGTGGTGGCAGTGTTGGAGGTGGGCTGTGTGCTGACGTGGAGGTTTTGGAAGGGTGAGGTCATCAAGCTCTTGAGAGTTGACTGCGGTGGGTCTTGGTAGAATGGTAAAGACATAGGAAGATGAATAGTTTCAGGCTTGATATGAACTTGGTTTGGATTAGGGTTAGGGTTTTGAGGTGAATGATCCCAGGGGTTGTTCAGAGAGATGTGGGTTTGTGGGTTTGGGAAGTGGTGGTGGTGCTCTTCTTGTTGGTGTTGGGTTGTGAAAGGGAAGACTGAGAATGGGGTTTGTGGTTGAAGATGAAAGGTTTGGCCAGTAGGGTTTGTGATTGTTGTTAATGTTGAGTTTGCAGAGAGTCTTGCACTTTCTTCAGCTAAAGCATCACAGAATGCTCTATGGGTGATGAAGCTATCCTTCCTGTAAAATTTGAAATTCATGCTAAGACATAATTTTATGAAAGAACAAACTACTATCATCGAATCCACGCAACTGGAAACAAACAAGAAATTATGTGATCATAGAATAACTAAGCATGGAAATTCTTGGCAGGATACAATGCAATGTTTGAGGGTAGGACTTGGCTTGGCGGTAAATTATTCTATATAATGATTTATGACTTCCAACATCAAAGATTCGAGCAGCCGGAACAGCCTCCTGACGTGTAGGGTATATCTTAAATTCTCCAAATCTCGCAACAGCAGGGCACTTATGCACTTGGCTTCTTTTTTAATATAATGCAATGTTTATTTTAATAGTTCTCCTTTTAGGTTGTGAATTAAACGAATGTAGTGAAGTTGCACTTATGTGTTTTCTTTTAAGCAAGTAAGATGAATACTGAAGAGAACACAAAGAAAGCTGTGAAACAAAATTTAGGGAGAAACCTTTGGGGAGAAGGTTTTGTCTCAGTTAGTACAGAAAGAGGCCAAGCCTAAGCTGTATATGGGAATGGTAGACAATGCAGTGGTGATGCAAAACATTTATATTCATCAATTCCTCGTTATCAAAAGAAGCTGAGATACATATCATGCATGCGTAATGGATAGAAACTCAAAAGTCATATAGCTTCTGTAACACAGGAGGAATTTTTTATATGGGTCAAAATTAAACTATATTGCATTGTGTGTGTGTGTGTGAGAGAGAGAGAGAGAGAGTTGACTGATGTTTGTGCATGCCGGCACTGATTATATTGCCTTAAAGATTCAAAAATTGGTAAACTGGGATGACAAAAGCTTTTTGAAGTTAGAGTTCATGCACAAAGCCAATGTAAATCATTTATATGCAATTCAAACCCCATATGTTTCAGGCCAGAAAAACAAACCCTTATTTTTAATGATGAGTGCGAAGAAAACAACACCACATCCCACAGATGTTTTTGCAGATTTATCAGTTTTGTTGATGATGATGTAATAGTTCAGAGTTTTACAGGGCTCTGAAGGTAAAATAGTGTTACCCTCCATGAACACCCAAAAGTGCCCAAGCCCCTATAACTTTTTCTTAGACAAGAGAAGAAATCCATCATTGTTTTGAGACTGCAGACACTCCACTATACCAAAAAGTTCAACAAAAAATTAAAAAGATAAAAGAGAGAAAAAAAAAAACCCTTGAAGGGAAATGTTTGCCCATTGCAAGATTTAAAAAAATCATTTAACCAACTGGAATTTTAGATTTATTTAAGAGTATGTTTCTCATGGACATGAGTCTGGCGCATAATTGGCTATTCCTTCAAACCATAGACTTTCCCCTTCCTCTCCTCAGCCCATCCTACAAAGATTGGGAAGGAGGAAACCTAAGACGTTCAGCATTCAGTGTGAGAACATGATAGAAACTAAGACTAGCTAGTCATTGAATCAAAGGTGGTACAGTATATGAATAAAACAAAAGATTATCTTGATCATTCTGTGTTCTTTAAGATATCAAATTTGCACGTTCAGATTTCAAAGATATTTTCTTTCAGTTTTTTCTTGCAATGTCTTCAATAACAGATCTCCTTCTATATAATGGTTGTGTATTTCCATTTTACCTGTCAATGCATTTAGGCAACATATGCATTTATATAAAGCTTATACCACTCTGGTGTAAGAACAGCAACAAAACAAAGTGCACGAAAACAAAAACAAAGACCCTCCTCCTAAGGACATGAGACTTTCAACTTCAAGCAAAAAGACCAACATCCACTAGGAGTCTCGTTAGAGTTCACACTCATGAATGACAAAGATATATCATATATCTCATCAAAACAAAGATGGAAGGATTGAGGGACTATAGAACACAGATAGATAGACAAACACAAAGGAAACATTACTTCAGAATGAACCGAAATGATCAAAAATTTACCTGGAGAAAAGAGTTCCACAATCACATCTATACTCTCTTGTTCCACATGTTTTTGAGTGAGCCTTCCAGTCCGATTGAACTGCATAGATCTTTGAACATTTCTCACACTTCCATTTCTTTTCCCCATGTTTTCTGCAGTAGTGTTTCTTGATTCCAGTAAGGTCACCAAGAGCCCTAGAAGGATGATGGTGAACACAGGTAGGTTCAGGGCACACATATGCCTTCTTTTTTATCTCTTTGCTGTTTCTTTGCTTCAGCTTCCATGGAAGGTTGTGGCCTCTCCTGTGAAGTTGAAGATTCTGGTCTCTCTGAAAGCCCTTGTTGCAGATCTCACACACAAATCTATTGGTAGCCAGTAAGGTCTTTGGAGATAACGCAATCACTTCTGCATCTGGGTCTGCATCACCATTAAAAGAATTACCCACACGAAATCAAGATCAAAACTTAGAAAATTACTAGTTAAATATGAAGAATTTTACCTGGGTTTCCAGGGAGGTTTCTTTTCTTTTTGATCTTCTGTGTCTGCTGAGGAGAAATGATTTGAACCATTGGATTTAAGCTTCCAAAGTCCAAAACTTTAGTACAAGAAGATGCACTAGCTTCCTCAGATAAAGAAGTTGAGTTAGACATGACCACAGGAAACATTTGGATGTGAAGAAGACTCCAACAAAGAAAAACAAAACAAACCCAGTAATCTAATCCCTTTTGTTTTTTTGAGTTCTTTGTAACAACCTCTTTAAGACCCTAGAAGTGAAAACCCCAGAAATGGGGAATCCCAACTTTGGATACAACTAAGCGGTGATATGTATTCGAACAGGTGGCAGTGACATTTAACCACAAAAAGGCATAATTCAATGGGTGGCAAAAGCAAAATCTCGTGAAGAGATTATGATGGGTTATTCTCAAAGTCGCTATCTAACCATGGATTGCTTCTCTGAGCAATTCTGAAGCACAATTGTGATCTCTCTTTCCAATCTCTCTCTTAAACCCAACAAGCTTACCATGCAATCAGAAACACTGAAAGCACAGACAATAGGATGGTTTTCCTCCAAATCTCCCCACTATCCAATGATCCTCTCCTTTTGTAGCTATCAATATATTGATGTATGTGAACAAAGAGAGATAGAATATGAAAAAGAAAAAAAAAGAACAAAAATAGTTGGTAGAGATGGTGTACAGAAGGTGATGATTACGGTGGCAGACTAAGGAAATGGGGGTGGCAAATTAGAGTTAAAAATAAAATTTAGTGAATTCGAGGTGATGTAAAGGCAATAAAATCCATAAAGGTTAAGAATTCTACCAAGGAGAGAGAGAGAAATGAGGCCAAGCAAAGCAAAGACCAGGAAGGATCCCAACCCAACTATTCTCGTGATTAATCATATTTTCTCTTTTTATTTCTTGGTGTTTTACTTTCAGTCTGACGTTGGCACTTTCTGTCGTTTCCTTTGTTCCTGTTATAAAACACCCAAATCCTAAAAGGCCCTTGATTTGAATGGAATGATTTTAAAAGGAGGTATTGTTAACAAGCTTGCTTAGGAGAATGTGAGAAGCTTATAAAGCTTGGGTGGGTGATAAAGCCTAAAGGCAAAGTGGTGGAGATGAGGCCCTTCCAACCTTTTCTATCATGATTGAATTATTGATTGACTATCAGCTTATACAGCAACCTATCATCAAAGACAAAAAGCTTATATGGTTGTTTAATAATGTAATCTTTTTCTGCTTATTTTTTGACCCCTTCTCCAAAAGTGATGATAAACTTTTATTTATGATACTCAATTCGAACTCATCTTTCAATTTACAAGGTGTCCAAGCCTCGATCCGTTTGTATTGTTATACTTTTCATTGTTATATCATTGAATTGTTATTGGGTTTTTAGAATCATTGAATTTATTTTCACAAGGATTTTTTCATTTCTGATTCTTTTGGTTCATAATTATTCCCACATCCTAGTGTATAGTTAAAGTTGTGAAGCCAAAACCCCACCATGGAGAATTTAGAAGGTCTCCTCTTTTCCTCCTTTTCAACTTTTTCTTATTCCAAACCCTAATCCAAAGCATATAGAGACCATAGTATATCCTCTTCAATTGTCAAAATCAAACTAGAAAGTATTGGAAATTAGAATAACCTTTGTGATGCTAAATTGCAGCCCTTTTAATCCCATAGGGCTCCTAAAGCAAAGGGCCGGCAGCATGAAACCAAATCTATAAGCCTTAGCATGCTGGAAATAGGACCCATGTTGATTTAATTCTTGAAAAAACATAGCTACATCTAAGATTGCTCTTAAAAAACCTTGGAATCCTATGTGGGTTCTTTTGATCTTAATCTTTTCAATCAGTTAAGAGTATCTTTTTTGTTGAGATTCATGCCCTTTTTCTTTTGGGATAGGGGTGAGATTTATGCTTCACTGAGTCACCTTTAAGGTTAAAAAGCTGAGGTCCTGCTGCTTGCTAGATATACTCATCAGTTCTTTTCCTCAACCTAAATACACAATAACTAGCTCCACATCAATCAGCTTGCAAGTGTATTATGATACAGTTGGTATATTAAGCATTTTTCAGAAGTAATCTCTACAAAATGTTGAACTCATTTTCAAGATTTTAATAGGAAATATTAACTTCTGATGGATGCAAAATCATTACAGCATATAGTAGATGGAGATTTTCTGGATTTTTGGCACCCTTAATTATGTCCATTGGGTAATCCTAGATTTTTTTTATAACATGAGGAGTTGGGCTCTCAAATGAGGGCTTATGTTCCTGCAATCTTGCAATGTAATGCATTTTTATAGTATTCAGGAGGGTTGATAATTGAACAAGTCCGAATGAACTCAAGTCGAGTTTGTCGAACTCATTTTTTTAAATGAGTTTAAAAAATTGTTCAAATTCGACTCATTAAGAAAACGAGTCGAGCCTCAAAGAGCTTCAAAACGAGCCGAATCATAATATTTTCACATAAATAGGTTGAGTTTATCGAACTCATTTTTTAAACAAGTTGAGCTCCGATAACTCGATTCAATTATCAGCCATGTAGCCTAAATTACATACATCAATCAGAAGTGACTATTTATGCATAAAAAAACTAGTTGAGAATAAGGTATGAAATTAAACATCCAGAATTTCAATAAATTTTTTGTTTATTAAATACATTGGGTTTGAACCTAATTGCATGCATCCAACATTTACGTTATAACCATTACGACAAACTCTGAAGAAAATGGTATCATCTAACATGGAGAGTCATGTCTTATATCTTGCCCAAGTTGATCCTTAGCTTCGGATAAATTGAAAATTTCTAATATTTTTATGTTTTATTTTATTTTTTCTATGAAAGTACTCTTGTGAAGTCATGATTGCCATGCTTCTGTATCCATTTATATCTTTCTTTCCGGATGTATAAGCAGAGAAGGATATTGATGAGTGGAAAAGAATAAGCTACTGTGGGCCACACTTTTCTTCACGGGTTCTTCTATTACTAGATTCTCTCTTACAGTTTGCAGCTCTCTTTCTCTCCAAGGACCTTATAAAATCCATTATTGCGGTGCTGCCCCTCTATTTTCATCCTTTTGCATGTCCTCTCTATGAGATTACGGTATACTAGTTTACCAGTTAGATCTGAAACTGGATAATTTATTGAACAATGCCACAATCGTAAACGTCTTCCTTCCGAAAATACCTACAACCCAAGGTGGTGTAGAGGTGACATTTAGATGCCAAATTTTGTTTGTTGATATCAGCTCGTGAAAAGATTACTCAGTTATCTCTGAGATATCTTTTAGGTTTATAGACTCGGGGTTAGAAATTTACTTTAAGGCAAATATATGTCACTCCGGTGTTACAAAAACATAATTGTTTTTAAGGATATTATAATTGCTTAGCTTTTGATTTATCTATGATCATCAAATGAGATGTTAAGACTTCGTTGTAGAAACAACAAGAAGGGTGTTTGTTTCATCTAAAATCACAACATCTAAAACAATAAATTAAAAGCATATTTACTAAACACCTTTTGTTACAAAAGTGTGTTTAGTAAACACACTTTTCACTTGTTTTGTCCACAATTTTTTTACAATTAAATCTCGTTTTTAATAAAAGCAGACTTGTTGATTTCACTTTAAAAAAATATCATAATTTGATAAATAAGTTAAAAAATATTATATTTTAATATATTTGTTTTAGACGGATAAATAACCGTACTACTTGAACAAGCAAAAATATCACTGTCACAGTACAAGCAAGCATATACTACTGTTTAACTGGGTTTATCTAAAAGCCTGGGCCCAAGGTGAACCACTTGGATCATAAATTCGTGAAAATAGGGCCAAAGGCCTTTCCAATGTATCAGCCCATTTAATTAATAAACCCAAATTAGGCCCATGTGAAAATCAGGCATTTGTGAAAATCTTGTTTTGATATGTGTCGCACAACACACAGCAACCATCGCGGGTGAATCATGACGGTGCTCCAAACGTAATTGAACAGATTATGTATGATTAGGGGTTAGGACTGAGTTACTAGGCTCGAGTGATTATGATCGAACAACTTTTTTGGAGATCTTTAGAGAGAGATTATGCTGAAAAATTATAGTGATTCACCAATTCGAGAATTCGTTTAGTCTACTCTTTAAAAGAGTCTCTTACTTCTGAGACTTTTACTAAATATAAAAAGTCGGATACAAAGTCTAGTTTTTTCAAAAAAAGAAAATTGATTGCCCCATAATGAGGGTTTTGTACAGTATTTATAGCCTAGTTTCTAATTCTAAGGGGCCAGTGGCAAGATCTTTATTTTCCTCCCACGATGTTTTGCTTGATTCTAGGCAATGATTGTGATGGTTAAGAATCTTACGCTTAAACTGACGCTTATTGTCGTTGATGAGGCGCGTTGTGGTTAAACAACTGTCTTCCATGCATTTTCTTTGAGTTGTAGGTCGAGGGGCCCCAAGTCTGGAGTGCCGGGCTTGAGCTTTCTTGGCTGAGCTCCATTTCTGACCTTACCTACCAACCTCAAACTTAAAATTCTCTCTAAGTACCATCAAATCACATGCTAATTTACTTTTTTCTTGTAGAGTGTGTTGATATGTTTTTCCATATAACCTTATCGTTCATGTGTAGTTCCTAATGCACCATCCCTGGTTAGTGGTTGCATGTGTGGGAATAATGTCCTGATAGGTAGCACCCCACAACACTATAAATCTCAAATCATACAACGGCCAGGAACGAGCCAGGCCGGTCCACTAATCGAAGGCATTGGTCCGCAGGTTGAGCAATTAGGTCATGGTGGTCAGCGAACCAGGCCTGTACACTCAAAGAAAAGATAGTCTTTTAAAAATGTGAAAATTAGGCCCGAGTTATTCTCCATGAATTTATAATGACTTAAATTCGTCAAATAAATCTATTTAGAAGTAAGTCCATTTTTAATTTTATTAAAAAGAAGTTAAGTTCACTTTTTTTTTTAATTTCAAGAATACCCTTAACAATGTTAGTTTAGTCAGTTATGAAAAGTTGAAAACCTTATTTACAAGGAGTTATATATAGAGGTCAATGATTAAATATTAGAATGCTTATTTTACGATAATAATTGTCGATTACAAGCTTTCCATAATATTTTAAATTTAAATTTTTAATTATTATTTTGTCTGTTATATATTTAAATAATCGGCCTTTGAGATTTGAGGTTAATTTGAAAGAGATGAAAGTTGAAACTGGAGTACAAACTCAAAATTTTGAAAAAGTAACATGAGCAGTACACACTAAGTATGTGATGTTAGCATAATAACATCAATTTCAAAATGTAATTTACTAACACATATCACTATTTTTTTTCATGTCACTATTTTTTATTTAGTATGTTATTATTTTTTCAGTGTTACTTTTTTTGATACTGGAGAATTGGAGGTTTCTTCCTCTAGTTATGTGTTTGAATTCTACTATTTTTATTTTCAATTTTGTTCAATGTTTCATATTGTTATTTTTTTTGTTGAGTATGTTATTATTTTTGTTAAACATGTTACTGCATTTTGTTAAGCATGTTGTTATTTTTGTTAAATATGTTATTGTTGTTATTTTTTTAAAATATTAATATTAAATGTTATTATTTTTATTTTAATGTTATTATATATATATATATATATATATATATATATATATATATATATATATATATATATATATAGTTTTAACTTATTTATAAATATCTATATAATAAAGTAACTAGAATTCTTTATCTTTAGCTTTTCGTGGCGCAAATTGTTTGTCGATTATTGATCCGATATTCCTCATGCCAATTTTTTTTAAAACTCCTATCTCTCATTTAACTCTCTCTCTATCTCATATTAACTAATACAACTCTCTCTCTGATTGGATTTTCATTCTTTTTACAACTCTTAAACTCTCATATAACTCTTTCTCCCTATCTCATACTCATCTCTCATATCTTTCACACGTTTTAAATACACACACTCTCTTCTCTCATATAATTCTCTCTAGACTTTGATACATGAAGTCTATTTAACATAAAAGGCAAAAAAATAATGTATATTATATAGTATAAAAAAATTAACTAATCACCATTGTAAAAAAAAATTAGTTATTCACTAACAATTTATTAAATTATGCAATAAACGATGTTTTAAGCATTATCACTAAAATATTAGCATAGTAAAAATATTAAACTAAAATTTAAGAGGTAAACATACTAAAAAAATACAAAGACCATTTTTCATAAAAAAAAAATGAAGTCAAATAAAGATCAATGAAAAGAACTTTCACTAGCAAAAATTCTTAATAAAATAAAGGTCATCTGAAAAAAGTCTTATTATAATAAAATAATTAAATAATTAAAATAAGAAAATTATAGGGTGAGCACAGGTAAAAAATATGTATATAATTTTTAGAATATATAAATATAAATATACATATCATATCATTTTTTTTTTAAATTATGGGTCCACCCTCACTCCTATGTAGCTTTGCACATGTATGTCATCCTATATATATCTATATTTCTATATCTATATTTATGTGATCATAATTGAATTTTTATTCCTTTTGCATCTCTCAGATCTCTCACATATTTTAAACACACATTCTCATATCTCATATAACTTTATCTCTCTATCTACCTCATATTCACACACACACACTCTCTCTATATCTTAAATGCATATAATAATAAAATAATAAGAGTTAGAGAGTTTGATTTGGGCAGTTTATATATATATATATATATAATAATAATAACAAAATACATCTAATACTCATTAAAACTATAATAACAAGGATTCTCTAATAAACAATTTAAACACACACTCTCTCATCTCTTATATAATTCTTTCTTTCTATTTTCTTTTCTCTCTCTCTCTCTCTCTCTCTCTCTATATATATATATATATATCATATTCTCATCTCTCATAAGTTTATTTCATCTCTTATATAACTTTATCTATCTCTATCTCATATTCACTCTATATATCTTCCAACACATGCCAACATCGACTCCAACTCAAAAAAAAGAAGATATTGTTTAAATATAATGATTAAATATATAAATTGTGTATGTGTTAATATTTTTTAGGAGTCATGTTTTTAGAAAAATTTTGTTAAATTTTTTTAGAAAATAGTAATTTTGAATTGTGTAACTAAAAAAAATAATAAAAAATAAAGCATTGTTTGAAAATATTTATATTATATGACCAGTGCTTGAGATTTTTTGAGTTACTTAGTGCCTTCAGACAAGAGTTATTACTAGTAGATAGATATGAGTAAAAAAAATTTTAATGTTAATCAAACTCTTAAAATTTAGAAGTTTTTAATTTTTAACTTTACTTCACTTTTAAAAGGAATTGATAGTCTTGTAAAATTAACAAAAAATGAATTTCATAACAAATAAATTTTCTTGGCAGACTTAAGTTTATAAAGGGACACTGGCTTCCAAATTTTCCTTTAAAAATTGTTTATCTATGTCAGAGAGTGAATGAGTCCAAAACAAGACGAACTCGAATAGATCGATTTGATTATCGGTCCCAATCAAAATTAGTGAACTCATTTTATTTTGCTAAAATCTGTCATATTTTTAAAAAAATTTCAACTTATAACGGGCTGGAAAAAATCAACCACCATCACCTGGAATCCAACAAACCAGGTCGCAGAGACATTAATATGACCTTGCTAAGGCATTTTGTATCAATGATCAATTGGGTACGAAAAAATGCTACCCCTACACCACCATCTAAAGTCTGAGAAAGACCAAAAACCGGGTTAGGTGACTTCGTTAATCATCTAAAAAAGTTCTTTACAAACAATACCGAAGACTCTCTACATCATCGCTATCCTACTCACAAATGAAGCTTACAAGTCGCAACGAATATTAAACATATTGCATTATAGATGCTACAATGTCGATAAAAAATACAAAAGAATCTATGTATGTATATGTATGTCAATCACTATTACTATTCTACTCACAACTGAAGCTTGCAAGTTGTAACGAATATTAGACGAATTGCAAATTATAGAAGCTGCTACAACGCTTATAGAAAATACAAGAAACATCGATATGTGTGTTTGTATATCACTAGAACTATTCTGCAAGTGATGAAAATGATTGATGGGAACTAATTTGCTTTGAGAAGAAAATTTCTTACAAGTTGCAAGTGTCAGATCACCAAACTCATCACCGACCATTCCTCAATTTCTGTCTCACTGAAACAAAGAAGACAACAAAAAATCTAACCGACAAAGTAGCCATCAGCTGCCGCTTGAATTCGAAAGATCACTGAAGTTTTCATTCTTTTCAGCCATATCATCTCCAAGTTCAACAGATTCCGGTAAATCTGAAGAAGTTGAAGACAAAAAAGTATACACCAGAGGCAGTTAGTAAACACCTTTTCTTGAGAGCAATTGTTCAATGAAATCAGTGCATAGACTAGTGTGTTTTGGAGGAGAAAACAGAAATAAAAACAACTACCTTTTCAGATATATGATCATGGCAATGGGTTCTACGGAATAATCAGGCCAAGCAATGCCTGCAATTTGGTCAAGACAGAGGGGAATAGGACGAAGAGATGTATCAGGAAAAAAAGGAAGGGAGGAACCCAAGAAAGAAAATCTGCAGAGGAGTTAGAAACACCAGGAACAACATATATTCCGAGGATGCGATGCTTGGTAATTCTGTCATTCTGTCACAGAAGAGTTCTGTCAATAGCAAGAAAGCTGGATGAAAGTTAGTCGACGTGGATTCATGTCACTCCCTCTGGTGGGGTCCTACCAAAATCCCGCTACAGTCCAATGATAATAACAAGGGCTTAATTTAGTCAAAATGAGACAGAAATTAACCAAAAGAACCACAAAAAAGCTACTTACCTTAGAAACCATGGAAGATCTACTACCCAAAAACAATTGTCATTGAGCCAGTAGCGACCCATTGGCTGAATAGTTGTGCAGAAAATGTCAAACTCGCCAAGGGTAATGCATCGGATCAACCAAGACATTGGCATCTTCACAGCAAAGATGAACCTAATCAGACAGAATTAGAAAGAGATTAACAATTTAAAAGTGGAAGATATGATGCATAAATTAAATGGCCATTTTCACAATGATCTGAGAAGGGGACTGGAAATGGAGAATTCAGAACAAGTCCAGCTTCCTATTTCGGGCTTGAACCCGAAAACCCCAACCTATCACCCAAGACATTCACATCCTCCTCTTCATCTTCTTTGTTCCCAGTAATTCCCAATTCTTCATCAAACTCCTCATTCAATAACGCTTCCCAGAATCCCTCATCAAGTTCCCTATTCTCACCCTCAAGTTGTTCTTGCTCTTCATGTTCTTGCTCTTGCTCCCTTCTTCCTCTACCAAATCCCTGCATTTCTAAAGCAAGTGCCTGAAGTTCAGACACTTGATACCCGTAAGGATCTCCAAATTCTAGAGGCTCAGCTTTAATGAGATCTAGTCTTTCACCACTTTGGCTTGATTCTCCACTAGGCCATTGATCAATTGGTCGTGGCCTTTTCTTCGTAATAGCCTCTTCAAGTTCCTTTCTTTTCTCTTTTTGCTGGACTAATTGTTGAATAAATACTGGATTTTGCATAGCCTGTGCTAAGAAGTTCATCATTTGTTGTTGCCTCTTCTCAGTCCCTTGTAGCTTTAGCTCCATGGCTTGAAGCTGAGCCCTGGTATTCTTCTGTTGCTGTCTAAGATTCACAAGTTCCATCGTTAAGGCCTGCTTGTCGCGCCTCAGAGTATCAACTTCTCTGTCTAAACCAAACTGTCCAACTTCAACACAAACACCTAGAGGGGGTGGTGGAGGAGGAGAAGGCTGAGAAGGTCCCTTTCTTCTCCTAATTGTCCTCAGACGATGCTTCTGACCCTTTAGAAATGCTTCATTGGCGAACTCCCATCTGTCTGGATCAATCTTCCTGAAGCCCTGAAGGAAATAATTTCAATATTTAGCGCAAAGTTCAAGGGCTAACAAGTTTATGATTAGAGGCAAAACTCTCATAAGGCTTCACGCAAGAAGGCAGAAACATATCACTAAAAGAACATGGAACGGATTAGATTTATAGCTTATCTGCTAGTACCAATGGCTTGCACTATCTCCTGGGTGTTTACCCAATCTTACCGGTAGGAAATATGCTTTCGTCTTCCTACCCGATATTTTGCGAAATTTTTTTTTCTTAACTTAACCTACCCTACCCAACCAAGTGTGGTACTTTTACCCGACTTTTGGCCAAAATAATCGGATAAGGAGTCGGGTAAACACTTTTGTAGTTATTAATTTTTAGATCATTTTAACAATTCAATTAAATAGCATGCATCAATTTAACAACACAATAAACCAATAACACTAAAATCTAAAACAATTACAACAACAATTACAATAAAATACAAGAAAGTATAAACATCAATAATATTATTTTCAGTTTAAACCATATGATTAAGAAATGAAGGTTGGATAGGAATACAAAAATAATGCAGGTAAAGTTGGATAGGAATACAAAAATAAATTAATGCGGATAGAGTAGAGTAGGAATACAGAAATTAATGGTTATTCCGCATTCCTACTTGATTTAATCAGAAGACCAAAAACTCTTCCGCATTCTTACCCGATTTTTTCGGTTAATCGTTCAATAGGGTCGGGTATGATTGAATAGAGTAGAAAATTACGGCTAATTAAAAATTTAAATACCACTACTCCTATGTTGTATCTCAACTTTTTTGTACGTTTTAAAAGTTAAGGACACGTCCACAGTCAGAAAATTGAGGAAGGAGAAACGTAAATAAAACATAAGAAAAATGAAAGAAACACACATAATTCACTAGTATATGTATGAGGTTAATTGATTTTGTTGCTCAAAGAAGGCAAAAGAATAAAAAAAAAAAGAACAGGAAATCCAATAAAAAATAGTTCAAAGGGTAAAGAGAGAGATGTTCATAGTGTCATAAAAATTTTATATATTGTAATGTAGCACGGAAATTCGTTGTTTCAGCTACTATAATAAGGTACACCATTTCATCTTTTTGCGGAAGTTATTTGATAAAGAAGCTTTAGTAACTCATGTGTTAGACCAAAATCGGTTTTTTAGTCTAAAAAAATTGAGTGAGACTCATTAGTTATTTCGAATAAATTTTCGTGGATTCATATTCTACTCAGTGAGGAGTATAACGTTGAATATTCACTTGCTCAAATCGAGTAAGAAATTAATGAGAAAATAGGCTCTAAAGTGACCATCTTGAAAAGTGAAAATAGAATATGTGCAATGTAGGGTTTGACATCAATCCCACATTGGGTGAGTAAGAAATTCAACATGGGCATATATAGTTCAAGTTTACTCTATGGGTTAGGCCTCAAGGAGTACCACAATTTTATGAGCGGAGCGAGCACCTATATGTCGTTGGGTCTACCACGGGCCGGGCTTGGGTGCGGGTGTGCTTTAGACCAAGCTCTATCTTCTTAGAAAAAATTAATTTAATTGGGCATAAATTTCTTAACCCGAAATTAATTTCGATATTTGCTCCAGTCCAAACCGGTTGGATAGTTCGGATTTGCTCCAGTCCGAAATTTTCAAGATGTGACTGTTCATGAAGAACAATTATTCAAGGTGTCTACTGACTGGGCCGGTTTTAATTTATGGGTTGTGTCCTTTAGTAAGGTGATTGTTCGGAAATTCACCAATTCATCTATAAATACCCAGGTCATGCATTCGTTTTATTAATTCAGATAACCAGACTGTTTTCGACATTAAGTATATTATATTTCGGCATTTTAAGGCAATACATTTGAAGAGTACATTACATTTCGGCATTTTAAGGCAATACATTTGGAGAGTAAACGACCAAGTTTTGATTCGCTGTACGAACAGATTGACGTGCTACTTCTGTTCATGGAAGATCATTGTATCCTGGAAAGCAGGCGCTCGGATTCCATAAGAACCGTGTGTGGGGGCAAAATCTGTCTTAAGGACATAGTGTCAAATACTAGTCTTGATCTACTACGAGTTTAATAACACTTCCTGTTCTACAACCGGATTAGTTTTTACATTAATTTGGCATAGAGTTACGTGTATTTGTTTGTTGTAACTCTTTGATTTGTATTACGGTTCTACAGTTCATATTTACTGTTTGTTTTATTTTAAATTACATGATATCAGAAATATCAATAAGTAATTTTATAATTTTTGAAACATCTCAAATAAAGATATGAGCGGTCATTTTAACTTAAAAGGAATTCAAATGGACAGTCGGTGAGTCCCCATAGTTACAGAAAAGGAATTTGACACATTGAAGAACTTGTATAAACACTAGCCACAAAAAAATAAAAATTATAAGAAGGCATATTTCTTTCTTCCATTTGAACACTACTGTTCCATGTCATTTCAGAACAAACAGAACTACAATTAGATTTGAAAAAGGCAAGAAATAGAATAAGATATCAATTAAACAGAGTACTTACATAAGTGTTTAGCTGCCTGACAAAGCTGGAGAAGTTGTTGTGCTTGAAGTATCTAGGGAGGAGATTGGTGGAGAAGCCATGAGGGTCCCAAACAACAAAGCTTTGGCCTCCTCTGCCCCAGGAAACAATGTGATCAATGGTTGGATCATCCACCATGTCAAAGGTTTTGGTTAGGAATGGTGGAGGTCCAATGTCATGAAGCCCCTCCATCGGCTGTGGCGGTGGCATCATTAGCGGGTCACCGGACCCTGATAAATTCAATCCTGGGTACTCCTCTTTAACTTGGTCTGAAGGATTCATGATCAAACATGAACAAAAAACAATTAATTTCTTGATGGATTTTTTATTGTTTTTGCTATATATTTGCTGAATTTGATGTGGGTCTATTAATCAGAGGCACTTTGATCAAATAGATAACGGAGTATACAACCTGGAACAGAGTAATAATCAAAGATCGAAGATTTGGCAATTAAAGAGCGAAGTGTAAATAGGCAAAGAAGAAGAGTGGAAGTTATGGGAAAAACAGAGTAATAAAGGGATCGCAGTTCTACATGAAATTTGAAAGAAATTGCATTGATGGTTTGAGAGTGAAAATCAGTTGAATGTGATGACATAAATAGAAAGGCCAAGCAAAATTAAGATGTCTTTTGCACACTATGCTTTCCGCTGTTGGAAAGGTCGTTTATGACGTCAAGAAGAAGTTTGATTTGTCAAACAAGGCTTAACCTAGACAAACAAGCTCTGGAAGAATGTTTAAAGCAATAAATAGAGCTGAATGGGTTTCATGCAGTGAAAAAAACCATGGTGGAAGGTTCTAGATATTAGGGCATGCCTTTCTTATTTCCGCGGGAGAGGGGAGAGGTTCTTCGGAAAGTTCTGGAAATCCTACAAAGACTTACTAAATTTGATTGGTGGGCTGTCGACAACATTTAAATGTCTTGAAAATATTTTAATTCTGTATCTTAAGTTTGAATTATGACCTCCTTGGAATCGGATAATAAAAAATTTATTTTTCATGAATATTTTTTTATAAATATCTTAATGCTGACCTTTTTTTTTTTTTTTCGTAATGCTGATTTAAATTACCTATTTTTAACAAGATTAAGAAATGAACTAATCGAGACATAGATAAACTAAAACAGACAGGAAACCCAAATTAATCAAGTGGTTAAAGCTATCAAATCAAACTCTTTAAATTGTTCATGGTTATATTTAAATTGTTCATGCGAGCTCTGGTATGGATTTTTTTTTTCCTTTTTGGGCTCTTTTTTGAGACCCTTCTACCAAAAAGGTAGCAATTGATTAAGTCAAATTTGATAAAAGTAGATTATAAAATTCCTAAAAAACAATTAAAATAACAATTATAATTTTTTTTTTATCACAACAATTATAAAATTAAGAGAGTGGATTCCAACCCACAGCCAAATGGTAGGACCATTCCACAAATAAACTATTAAAAAAAATGAACGAACATTCTACATTGTTCTAGATGCCACATCTAAAATATTCAATAAAAAAAGAAAAAGAAAACAAATACATAGGCATGCTGATTTCCATGAAATAAACTATAATCCCAAAAATTACAAAAATTTAGGAAAAAGTTAAGAGGAATATGAGACATAGATGTTACATGCACAAGGCTCACTCAGAGTCACAGGTATAATACACACTGGTTGTACCACCAAGATATGCCTTTTCCATGTCTTTACCATTTTTCTGTTTTCCTTCTCATGGTTCTTGGCTGTTTACGCGGCTATGAAGTTCCAGCATCTCTTGATGGTTGGGGTCAACAGCGAGAGCAGCTCGACAATCTCGCAGGGCACCTAGAACATCGCCAATGTGCTCGTGGAATGCAGCCCGGAGGTGTAGAAGGTGAAGGTCTGCTTTGAATGCAATTGCCCTTGATAATTCCTCTATGGCTTCCTTCTCCTTATGATTGTCCATCAACACTGTTATAACCACCAATTCCAGCTCAATATCAGCTAACATGAAGAATTCAAGATAATGGTTGCCATCTAGTAAATCATTTGAACCATTTTTAAAATATACTACAAGCACCTCAACCTCACTGAGCAAAACACAAAACTTAGACGTCCAACTTGACATATTTAAATTGTTGGGAAAATAAGAGGAGGGGTGGCAGTCAAACCTGCAGCTCGGTATCTGTAAGGATAAACCCGGAGGGGATCTAAGCGAGTGACCATCTCTAGATCTTCCTTTGCGAGTTCACGTTCACTGTACTCTGACCTCTTCTCATAGGCAGATGCATTGTTCTGCGCCTTCTCAATCAATTTGGTCATCTCCTCGTATGCAGCATTCTTATCATTTCTAAGGAAATGGACACGAGCGAGGCCCTGGAGGGCACGGGTGTGCTGGATTTTAAGGGCATTAATGTAGCAATCAGCTGCCAAATCTAGCTTCCCACAGTCAACATAAACACTTCCAAGATTGTTCAAGGCCTGCCCATATTGAATGATAGAAAGATGATTAGAGGTGTTGGATATTTAAGCAGTCTGGTGCAGGCATAAACACCGTATATATCACATATATGATTTCCAGTTAGTTCTTATTTAATGTGTTTTCTTTTCTTGAGAAAGACTTACAACACATGGATGATGGGATTGAGGCACGCATATTACATTGTCAACGAACCAAATAGAAGGCATGGTCTCCCGCAGCTCACAAGTGTCCAACAGGCAAATTAAGCGCCCTATATATGAGATTTATGATTTCCAGTCTGTATTTTGTATACACCTTTTCATTTTTCTTAAGAAAAAAACACAACTCAAGAAATTTTCAGCCACTTCGGCATTATTTGCACAAAATGTAATCTAAAACTCAACTCTTTGCTTTCTACTTTTCTTTGACGGAGCTCAAATTTATGTACTAAACCTTAGTAGCTTATTAGAATACTTTTGCAACATTGCACTACCATAATCTGGACTTTTGTGCAGCTTCCATTAAATATTTTGTTATGATTTTGTTTCCAGCTTTCATATCCACAATCTAACACCAAGAGCTCATCTTCCCATCTTTTAAACCACAAGTTCTTTTCATGCTACTTGTAGCCTCAGAAACTTTTTACTTCTTAGGCTCCTTATTTGACATTACATGTATAGTCGCCTCACTACGGCAGTTACTTGGTTTCAGTCCAAAACTAGATCTCACATAGTAAGCATGCCAGATGGTTATGGTTAAGTACGCTCTTCAATACATTTCTTATAGCAAGACCTATTCAACCAGGCAATACTTACCTTCTACTACTCTCTTTCTACCATCTAGAACTGTACCTGATAAAGGTCAATCTTCTTACATGTTGCAGCTGTCTCGGGTAAAGAAAAATCATACCTGACCTTTGCGAAGCCTATCTGAGGGGCACTTCAAGGCATCTTCAAGAAGAGATACAACAGTAGAAGAACAAGATGAATCCTGGCTAGAGTCGGCCAATGCGTAAGCTTTCAGAAAGAAGGCCTCAAAAGATCTCTTCTGGCTAATGGACTCCTCTGCTTTTCGTAGTCCTTCTTCACAATGACCAGTATCATACAAGATCCATCCCTCATATACCAAACGTTCATGTTCACTAGATGCATGCTGGCAAGCCAACTGTAAACTTCGCATGGCTGCATCCGGACAGTTCAATCTGATCAAGCATAGAATGAGCTTAAAATCAGGTAAGTTTTTCTGTTTCTGTTATTCTATATGCAGACAATAATGGGCAAGACATTCAGCTACATATACCCCTAGACATCTCCTTGGGGTGGTGGTGGCAGTTAAATAATAAAAAACAGGAGGAAGAGATCAAGATTAGTTTCTAATTGGCCTGCCAAATTAAAAAGCTATATCTAAGAAGATGAGCATACCACGAAATCGTTTTCTGTATAGGAATTATCCACTGAGACTCATCAGGGCACAAACCAGTGACCATAGAGACAAAATTGGGATACAAAAACCATTTGTCGCCAAAACTTACTTAGAATCCAAAAAAACTGGAATATAAGTGGGAAAATTTAAAAGCAACTTCAATGTGGAGATCTAATGCGTGTTACGAAGATATTGATTGGAGCAACAACCACAGATGTTCAGTCTAACATAGATATGAGGTGTTGGACCTGGAAACTCTCCAAATTACAGGCATGGAGAAGTATATGAACAAGGCTTCTCCATAGCATGTGGGTGCAAGCGTGCAATATATTTTGAGTCTAGCAGTAATGCCAAGTAAAGCTGGTCATAAGATAGATAGACAATTGAAGTTTCTAGTAACAAAATACCAATTGTTATGGCTTCCCAAATAAAGATGTTTCTTTGAACATCGGCAGGAAAAAAAATGGAACTTATCAGAAGATTCCAAGCCACTAACAGTCATACACAGACAGAGGTACCACATTGATAAAAAGCTCCTTGGCAAAAGTATTGGATAGAGAAAATATATTGGCAATCAGGACAACAGGTGACTGTAGACTACTTCATGATATAGGGCTTCACTTAGTCTAACTATTTATTTGTGTAAAATATCGCTATACGATAAGATTTGCCTTATACACGTCTCGCGGAAATAATAACTCTAGTGTTGGATAATAGACCATTGAAATAATTACTTTTATATATAACTCAGTTAATTATTGCCAAACATCAGAAAAAAGCAAAATAACTAGAACGTACCTTAGGAGAAGCAAAGACTGTCTAAAGTAAAGAACTCCTTTCGCTGCATCAGACTCAAGCATCTGGTATATCACAGAGAGGGATCCGATATCATCAACTGAAGACCATCGATCATACAGTTGGAGCCAACAATCTGCCGTTGTCCAATTCTCAACATGTTCACGCACAAGAGTACGCAATTGGGATGCTGCAACTCGCCCCTCAAACATCCTATAACTGGGAGAAAGAGTAAGAATGGCTTGAACATCGCAAAATGCTGATTGGTAGTTCTCAAGAGCCAGATAGAAACAAAATCGGAGTTCCAAGCATTCTAATGCCAGTTTGAACCCAAGAACACGATTTATTTCTGCAAGGGCAGCTTCAACATTTTGTTTTCTCATCAAGGATGCAGCTCGATACATGTAGGGGTAAGTAAGTGTTGGGTCCAACTTGGTCGCTTTCAGAAGGTCTTCCCACCTCTTATCACCTTCACAGTATAGTGACCTCTCCTGATACATCCATCCAAGTGGAGTAACAGAGGAAATGACAGAATTGAGTTTCTCACAAGACCAAAGTTTACGGCCCGTAATGCCACCCAATCTAGCCAATCCAACGACAGAATATACATGGCCCGCATTTAAAGCCACCTCAAAGAGCCTCTCAGCTTCATCATATTCTTTCCTCAGGAGTCTTACAAATCCCAACTGATGGTATACCACCATTTTATGTCGGGTACTTTCAGCAGAGTCTACCAAACATTCCAAGAAAAGAGTTGCTTTATCTGATTTGGGATCTAGGTTCATGGCAACTTCACTTAATAAACTGTAGAGAGAATATGAAGCTGAACCAACCATAATTGATCTTTGTTGCTTGTTAGCATTGCTTAATAATTCAACTATCTTACTGTCATTAAGAGAGTCGGGGAGTTCACGTAGAAACACTTGCAAACATGATACAGCAAGGACAGGGCAATTCAATTCAAGAGCATATTCCATGAGTTCCACAGCATCTTGTCTGGAGGAAATCAGAGAAGCAAGTTTTCTGCCACAAGCATCCTTGAGCTTTTCACAGCAAAATTTGTTGGCAAATAATAATATCTCCAACAAAAGGTTGGGTGAAACTTCATTTAAACTGCCTGTTAGGCTGAAGTCATTGATCACCCTCATACCCAAAGGGGAAATATTGTTTTGAGACAAATCTATGTCCTCTCTAAGTGACTCTGTAAAACAGCCATTAAGCATGGCATGAAATGGAGCTGAAAGTTCGGCAATCTTCTGCCTGTCACAATCTATTTTCTCATCTCCAATATGAAAAGACACATTTTTCGGAACAATGTTCCTATCTGGTACCATAACTATAGGGGAAGTAATATTTACATGAGTGGAAAGTTCAGAGGCAATGTCTATCATCACGAACTCGTTTGCACATTTACCACAAGAAGAAAGCAAGTCAGAGATGAGCTCTTCACCTGGCTTCTCATACTTTAACCATGCTCCAAAGACAAGTTTCTCTTGAACAGTACTTGCCTTCAGCCAAGCCGAACAAAGGCTCCTCCGCATTAGTTTAGCTTCACCAAGGCCCTTAAAGACCTGAAACTGCAACAAATAGAGACTCGACCTCTCATGTGGAGGACACGACTCGAGTTCTTCATGAATTTTAGCTAAAACTTCTACATAATCAACAGGTTTAAAGAATGGAAGAATCGGTGGTTCCGGGACTTTGATAAGAGATTCTCTACAAATATCAAACACAATATGCAGAATTTAATTTCACGAAAATTTTCCCATGTTCAAAATGCTTTCAGGAAAACTGAAAATGGAGAACTTACATGGAAGATGGGGTCTGATATGAGAGTTTAGAAAGCTTCCCTCTTTCAACCTGGAGCCATGATTGTGGATTGATAGCATTGAGCTGCGTTTCTTTACAAGACTCGGAAGGAAAGGGAGTCCTCATGGGACATAACAGTTGAAACAAGTCCCAGATCTCCACAATAGCTAGATAAGCTTCTTCTCCGAAACCGAAACTAAAAACAGTATTGAAACAAAACACAAACAAATAAATCCTCACAAGCCCAAATTGGGTTTCTCCCTATAAATTTTACACTGCAAAATCCAGACTATGGGTTCTCTATACTGAACTCTCCAAAAATAAAGATTATTGCAATCACCGTCTTCCACATCTATATTCTTCCTCCTCACAGAAATTACCAAACAGAACTTTCTGCTCTTTTAGTCTTGTATTGTAATAGACCCGAAAAAGCCAGAGACCCACCAAAGGTTACACCAGATCTCCACAATTTATGCAACCAAACCACATCAAAGCCCACCGAATCCCCCCTATGAGAAACACAAGAAAAACCAGAGCGAGAAAGAGAGAGACCCACTAACCTTGTTTGAAATGTAGTCACCAGAAAACTTAACCAAATGAGACTCCACACCAGATTCAAAACCTAACCCACTACGTTTCTGGGTTGAGTTTACAAACCCAAATCACAAAATTGGGAACAAAGCTGCAGAGCCGCAGAGAGCATGAGATCAAAGTGATGGAATCCAAAGAAAAATTCTCAACAGTATTTCACTTTTCCTTCGCTTGTTTGGTAAAAGGGAAAGCTTTTTTCTTTGTCTCCCTTTTTGAATTTTCCTTTCAGTAGTCCACTTTCTTTTCCGTTGGACAGGCCAACAGAGATTTGTCTTTCCCAAGTTGGGTTCCGCTGGTACTAATGGTTTGAATTTTGGTGAAGTTGAGGTTTTATCTGTTTACCCAAAACAATGGTTTAGGTTTTGTCACCTTTAGCTGATTGCGGTCAGCTGTTATTAGTCATATTAGCTGTTTGGCAATTCGGACAGTTTGTGCTGTTACGTACGAGAAACCGACAATCTGTTGAACAAAAATTAATTGGTTATGCAATAAAAAAAAGTAATTTGAGATCAAATTTCAAGAATCGTATAATAATTTTTTTTGATTGTTAGTTTGTTCAAACACAATTGATCACAATTCGCTACATTTCCATAATCTGTTCATTTGGCCCTTCTATTTCTTCCTTGTTCTTTTTTTTTTTTTGTTCCAAATTTCACATCTAGCATCAATATAACGTCCATAGTGATTTAGAATGGAAATTTTTAGATAAAAAAAATAGAAATGTAGCTATGTTGACGGCATATGTGACATTTCAAAGTTTGATGAATTTCACGTGGAAGATGAATTTCACGTGAAAGATGGATTATGTTGTCACTTGTCATATTTAGGGGTGTTTAAATTTTTGATTGGTCGTAATTTTTTATTCTACCCTACTGAACGGTTAGTCACGAAAATCGGGTAGTAATGCGAAAGAGTTTTTGGTCTTCCGATTAAATCGGGTAGGAATGCGGAATACTCATTAATTTTCGCATTCCTACCCTTTCCTACCCGTAAAAAATATATTTAATTTTTTTATATATTTTTTAGTAATTATAATAGTATTTGTGTGGTATAATTTATATTATAATATTATCATTATTGTGGATGTTTAAGTTATTAAAACATGGACTTATTTTTTGTGTAGGTTACATGATTTGTGGTGAACTAGTGATCTATTGGAGCAGTTATGATTTTAATGTGTTTCATATAGTTTAACCTTAAAATAATTGTTATTGTATTTGTGTATCAATTATGATGGATTGATGTTCATACTTTCTTGTATTTTATTATAATTATTGTTGTAGTTGTTTTAGATTTTAGTGTTATTGATTTATTGTGTTGTTAAATTAGTACATGTTATTTAATTAAATTATTAAAATGATCAAAAAATTAATATTTACAAAAGTTTTTACTCAACTTCCTACCCGATTAATCGGGTAGGAATAACACACCTGATCGGGTAGGATAGGATAAAAAAAAATTCTTCCACAAAATATCGGATAAAAAAACGGAAGACTATATTTCCTACCCGTAAGGTAGGGTGAACACCCCTAGTCATAACTCGTGTTTGAATGTACAATAAAATATAAAATTCTAACGTTTAAAAAATTGATTACACTATACCAAATTTAAAATTAATTTATTTGCTTACATTATTTAAAATTAATTTCTACCTATTATTTTCTTAAAAATAATGTCAAAATTTTCTCAAAATATATAATTCGATAAAAATATTTAAACATGTGTATATTATTGTATATGAATAATGTATAAAATAAAAGTTATATTAAACTATAAATTAACTAAATTTTAAATGATTGAATATGTGATGGAATTAAGTTATGTCATATTTTTTAGAGGAAAAATATATAATGGCTAAAAATTCAACTTGCTAGGTGATTTATTATATAGATAGTTATAATCCGTACTTAAAGACACGATGAAATATAAGATTTTAATATTTAAAAAATTAATCCCACTATATTAAATTTAAAATTATTTTTTTGGCTTAAATCATTTAAAATTAATTTTTAATTATTATTTTTTTAAAAATAGCATCAAAATTTTCTCAAATGACATATCTCATTAAAATTTTTTCAACACGTGTATATTATCATATATGAATAATGTATAAAATAAAATTTATCTTAAATTATAAATTAACTAAGTATTAAATGAATGAACATGTGATATTATTAAGTGATGCAATTTTTTTAGAGATAGTGAATAAAATTCAATTTACTAGCTGATTGCTGATTTATTATGTAAATGTATAATGACAAAATTCAAAATTTAAACAAAAGAATAGATAAAGGAGAGTTTGGTGGGGATGGGTTTGAGAACAACGAGAAAGGGTAGGCACATATCCCATCATTGAAAAATAATTATCGTTTTAAAATGTATGAAGTGGTAGGTTAGCTATATATCATCATCAGGTGATTTGGCAAAATTGTCAACCAATGGGCCAAACCTTTCTGAGTGTTTAACGGGTTCTGCTTTCGCAGTTAGCTTTTAATTGGAGAGAAGATCCAAAAGACGTCACTTTGCACCAAAACGATATCATTTTGATCTATAACACCTCTACGATTACTTGAGAGAATTCTCACCCACGTCAAACTCAATTCTTCGCCTTGGCACATTAAAAAATAAATCAAAAACCATGAGAGAAGTGGAATAAAATTCCAAACCAACAATAGTTTGGTTTAAAAAAAAAATATTTATTGGCACATTAGGATACTATGAACCATTAATCATCATCTCTTTACTGATACCAAGGCCAAGAGTATCCCAAAGGACCACTTTCAGTGCTTTATTGCTTCCCACTTTTCAATCACAATACTGGAATCATCCTTCAATTTTCTTTGAATGATACAAATTTCTCGACATTAGCAAGCAAATTCAATTCATTTTGAATTTTAAAATTTAAAGTGCTTTTTGAAAAAGGTAAGGTTTGCTGATATAAACAGGTCTTAAAACCATTCAAAAAGATTTTTTTTAGGAGTCGGAGAGGAGCCAAGCTTTCCTAAGTTGTGTTCCAAATTTCCATCTCATTCATCCATATCAAAGGAGCCATTGACCAAAATCATAGAAAAATCCCTACGGTCCGTCCGATCATAATCAGTCTCCATACTATCCACATCTTTGGTGGTATCTCCAAATTCCGTTTTCAGTGTTCGTTTTAGTCGTAAAACCAATAGATCCTCCAGAAACCAGAGTCCATGAACAAAGGAAAGGGCACTCTTAGGTCTGCACACCTCAAAGGCCAACAAGTTTATTTCAAACAAGCATGGAGAGATAAATTATCAGATGCGAAAGTCTTCTCTTCATTTATCCCAAAAATGAAAACAAGCAAATACATAAAATATATATATATATATATATAATAAAAATATGTTTACAGGGAAGCTTACATTTTTTTCTGCATCCCTTGGCATTTTCAGCGAGCCATCTTGGATGACATTGGCTCTATTAAGTCCTAACAAAGTCTCACGACATGCCACTAGAATTGCATGGTCAATCCAGGATCCCAACTTCAGTCCTGTATATCTGAAATGCAACAGACCATCACCACATTCATCCACTATTTCAAAGTTCGAACATTAATTTGTAATCAATATATAATGATATTATTCACTCTGACAGTCTCCATATTTAAAGATTTATTTCAGTTCGAGCATTCTGTCAACAACCAAACTGGAAAACCGAAGAATGACAGAGAAGACGAGAGACAAACAAATCAAGAGTATATCAGGATAACAAACCAGTTATTATATTAATTAAATATCAGACTGCTGGAGACAACTAATGTCATCTTATAATGGAACAAAAGTAGAAATCCTGCATGTAAACCTAACTGCCAAAGAAGCAGTATAAGAAAAAAATAATGGGGGAAAATAACAGAAAGAAAAAAAATACATCCCAGATAAAGTGTACATAAGAATTCATATAGCTATCATAATCCAATGAGCACAAGTGGAGTAGTCATATGGTTCCTATTTGAAAAAGATTTAGATACATCAAGTTTTACAGAGGAGTGTTTTGAGATGGTTCCTGGTTGGAATAAATGCAAAGGCATCCTGCTTGCCCAATTTTTGTCAAATAGAACTCATAAAACTAAGATCAAAGCAATATATTTTTGAGGCTTTAACAAAGAGACAGGTATCATATCTTCCAAATATGAAGGCCATAGAGCAACAGAACAGTGACCAATTATCAGGGAATTTTCATCCTTGCTTTGAGAACATATATGATTTTGATGCCAAGCTAGGTTACCACCGTTTAATATTAAACCAGCTCAGCACATCAAGTATATATTGCAAAGTCCTGGGATATATTTTTTGTATTAGTAATTATTTCCGTAAATAATTATGCATACATTACACTAATGTTTACAAAAGCAAGCATTCATATCCGAGGGATCCAATTCTGACATAAATCAAAGAAAAAAGGAAACAGCTTGCAAAATCTTATTTGTATCATAACACCTCATGTGATCAAGGAATGCAACAGTGCTAAACCACATTCACCTTTGTCATTGAGACCAGCTGAAAGATTCAAATTCTTCGCCCTATCATTCTCCATTGAGCCGCACCGGGTAGGCATGTTGGGTGGTCCAATTTGGGGTGGGGAGCATGTGTCACTCCGACTGGAGTGCTCATTAGGGGACTGATGGTTTAAATAGATGTCCAAGCTACCAGGTGCAGGCGTTCCTACCTTTCTCTTGCTTTTAAACCTTCACCTAACAGGGATGTGAGGAACAGAAAGGAGAAGCAAAACGGACTATTTGCATGTCTATATGCTTGTCAAAAAGAGTATTGTAGCCATTAAAAATACCTGTCCTTGCGCTTTTCGAGATATCTTTGCACTGATGCCTTTCTACTTGCTGGGCCTTCAGCTGCTAATTAATAATTTTTCAAAGCAAATCCAGTAAAGAAAAGGGGAGAGTGAAAATTTTAAAAGGCAGAGCAACACTCCAAATCATTGCCCGTAAGAATTTCATGGTGCATCACTACGCAAGCCAATTGTGTGGTTGAGAAAAGGTTCCACTCTAAATAAAATATGATTTAAATGCTTCTTGGTTTTTGTATAATGGCAGCCTTTTACTAAAGTCCATAACAGAACATTACAAGAAACAACAGGTCAAGAGCATCCTACATAAACCCAGCATGGAAAACTTCTCAAATCAACCACGTATAACTAAGTTGCTACTGGCTTCCTTCATGACATCACCTATAGTTCAAGAAAAGTTATTTTTAGAAGAATGAGTGGCATAAGGAAGTAATTGTCCCAAGACACAAACTGCCACAAGGGATATCACTCATGCTAGAGGTAACACCCTGTGGAGAAACCATGCATAGGTTGGTTCACTTATGCGATGGAGACAAATTACTATAACAACTAATGACACTGACACCATAACTACAACATTAAGGAGAACTGATTTGGTCCAATTTGAAGGCATTACAAAAGCAAGGAAAGACAGATAGAATATGTTCAAGGAGTAAAAATGGGCTGATGGTCCATCTAATTAGAGGAAGAAAAAGAAAGACTGACTAAAGCTAAGGAGTCTGAAGAAACCTAGTTGATCAGTGATCACAAGTAATTGCAATAAAGTTCTGTCAAAAGGAATTGCAGGCAATTGCCTCTAAAGTGGCAATGCCAGGAAAGTGTCACTATGTCAAATAGACACTAACAACAAGCAATGACCACGTGAGAAGTATGAAAGATAGCCACTAAACAAGATTCATATAACACTACTTGAACAAAACATGCAAGAGGGTGAACTCCTTGGATATGCATTACTATAATATAGAAATGGCTCAACAATTCAATATCATCTGTTCGTGTAAATTCTGATGAAACAACTGTCAACCAGAAGAAACACTTACCAGGGTTGTCTTCTCGAAATATGCTGCTTTCCTCTTTTTGCAGTCGTGAATTTTCGGCCATTTTCCCTGGTATAAGTTTGATTTGTATTAGTATAGAATATCATTAACAAATAAAGAAACTCAACACGCACCACAGTCCCTCTTAGGACCAGGTTACTTTTTTCGAGCTTCCATATTAAAGAGCTTCCTGGATTCAACGTGGTCCATCACAAATGAACGTGTTTAATTCAAGCGAACAAACAAAAAATGCAGTTTTTGCATGGCCCAAGCTTTTTTCCATCAAGTTACCAATATAGCCTATTAGAGCAGTGGCTCCTGACTGACTAGATCCATCAATAAGTTCGAAGTTACAGACGAGTATAGAATGTATACAGAAGGAATAAAGGGAGAGGATTTAATACATCCCTAATCACCTGTTTGCCAGTTTGGCAAGAACAACACAGAACCTGGCCCCACTTTGACACTTGCGGCTTGTGAATGGCATGGTAAAGAATGCACTGTTGTGGTTCCATTGAATGCAGCTTCCTGAGGCAAATGGACCGGGCTTGCAGCAAACTGCATTATTGCTTGTGCCTAGAGAGATCTTCGTTGGTCACATTAGAAGCCCACAATACAGCACTACATGAAACTGATACCAGGGTATTTCAAACTCTGCAAAAAGAGCAGATACCTTATGATCTGGCACATCATCATACACATTCACCTTGCCACAATAGAAGATTGTCATTTGTCCTACTTGCCCAGTTGCTGCACCTGTGGTTCTGGACAAAATGAAAAGTTCAGTCCCATGGAACAATTAGAACAAAGACATCTATATTATGTCATCTATGAGATTTAAGCAGGCAATGAAATGCCATTCAAGTCATTGAATCTATAAGATCTACAAAAGCATCATGTTTTGTGTGTATAACATACTCCACATGCCTTATCACATGCACATAAACACACAGACTGTAAATGAATCCTGAACAAACTGTAAAAACCCATGTCAATTCCATGAAGCGAAGATGCTTTACACCATTCTTCTTCTCTTTCTTCCAACAATAGATCTCGACATTATTTCCATATTTCAATCCATGTACTTACATTCCAGTCTATGACAGGCTGTGCAAATGTCAACACGTGCAACAAAACAACATTCTCATCTACCAAGAAAGAAGAAATATAATACCATTGCAGTTTTACATCTCACACCTCAAATCTATATCATTAAGTCAAAATTGAGGTGCACACAAATACTCAAACACGTGGATCCTACACGCACTGCATGCAAAGTATTAAAAACATCATCCTCCACCAAAAGCGACGTTTATTTTTTATACACTTGTTTTCTACCCCCACACTCCCTATGTATAACAAACTTGATACTCAGAACCTTTGTTTGCTCCAACAGTCATCATCAGAAACTAGACTACCATAAACTAAACCGGGGAAACTCGAATACTATGTGTACGCAGGTACATTAATTCGACACCTGAAGGCATGGTTGCACATCCCCACAACTCCCAGGAAAGGTCAAAAACAGAAGTATATGTTTCTAAAGAAAAAAAAATGTTATTTCCCTCAAAGCAGCAGTAGTAATGTTAAAAGATTATATAGAAAGTTGCACATGAAGCAAACAAAATAAAGACAACAAGGCGGATTTGAACATTTACCTAGGAGGAGCTGAGTCATCGTCAGCGGCGTCGAGATCACCCGATAAATCACCTGAAACATCGTGTTTCTCAGGATCTTTTTGCTGATTCGGAACCAATTCGTCGGCCGAAACAGAGATTTCTGCATCGGCAATTGTTCCTTGGGGGACCTACAAAGATTAATTTAACCAACCAATAACAATGTAAAGTACTTTGGATCATCCAATTAAAATAATATTTTAATATAAACCTAACAGTGTTCAAATAATAAAAAATGAGGGAGACCGAGGGAGTGCGTGTATGTGGATGATTGGAACTCACACGGGGTAGATGATCATCTGTACGGGGAATGTAGAGCTTCTTGCGAACAGCGGCATCGGAATCCGGCGTCGTTTCAAGGAGAGCCTTGAGAGAGATGACTTGCTGGATCGCCTGCGATTTGTTCCATGACGGTCTTCTCATGCCTGTACGAACGTCAGCCAGGGAAAAACAAACAATCACGCGCCGCTGATTTCATCTTATCTCTCGATTTCTTTATCAACTTCCATTTTTTCTCTTGGTTTTAAATGCAGAACTACAAATATACTTGCAGAGAGAAACTAGAGAGAGAAATAACCTTTTTCTTTGAGGTAACGGCGACAATCTTCGCGAGTGAGCTGAGAAATGTCTTCTTCGGTGAGTAGGTGAAGAGGTTTTTCGAGTGGTGACTTGGAGACGGTTTCCTCCGGCGACATGGTGCAAGATTCCGGCCAAGAGTGACCGGAGCTTTTCCGACTGCTTCCTTCGAAGTAGAAGAGCAGATCAAAAGACTATTCAAGTAAAGATGTGTCAAATTTGGGGGGTTTCACTTCATGTGACTCAGTGAGTGAGTGAGAGTGTGTGTGTGTGTGTGTGTGTGTGTGTGTGTGTGTCCCGGGGAATTTGGCCGCGGCGTCGCCGCTTTGTTTGAGGCGCCTTTTCCATCTAATGGGGGCAACAAACCTGCAACCCCAGGACGCCACGTAATTGCCCACCCAATTCTTACGATTTTGTCCCGCAAACCTGTCCTTAATTACGGTGCTCTCCCGTTCTTGTAACACGGTAGAAGGGGTACAACTCAGGGCGTACAAATCGATTTTAACCCTAAAAAATTAGAGTTTGAATAAAAAATTTTAATATTTAAATTGAACTTGAATCAAAAAATTTTAACTCGAATTCAATTTGAGTTGGACTTAGATTAAGGTCTCATGAACCCAATTTCAACCTGAACCTGACAAATTAAAAAAAATATTATATATATATATAAAATATAAATACTGATTTTTTATTTTTGTTCTATCGTTCTTTGTCTCTCTTGTTCTCTTTGTCTCTCTCGTTTTTTCAGTCTTTCTTGTTAAAAACTTGGTTGAAGTTATTGGTTGTTAATTTAAGTGAATATTATGTAATATATGTATTAGGTTTAAAACAACAAGTCTATTTTTGACTCTATCCGAATTGAACCGATAAAGTAACCTGAAATCAGCCTAAAATTATCAACTCGAATTCAACCCGAATCCACCCGAATTAAACTCGGACAGTGTTCGGATTGAGTTCTCCAACCCGAGGTAGGGTTAGAGTTAGAGTTGAAGATTATATACCTAGGATTGAGTTAGGGTTAATTGTCTAACTCGTCCGAATTACACTCCTAAATGATAGACAGATTTAAAAACTTGATGTAATTATTATATTTATCACTGGTTTAATTTCATATCTCTATATTTATTAAAACTCATTATTTTTTATTTATAGTAATTCACTAAATCAAGTTTTTAAGTTAATTTTTTAAATTTATTTAGTATTTCTTATTTTTTATGATGCATTTAGTAAAGTGAATGAAAAAATAAAATATTAAAATATGAGTGATATATTTTTTATTTTTTAAGATATAGGAATCCTTCTTTTTTTTTTTTTATGTCTGGTGGAAGGGATTAAGATTGATTTTTTAAAAATATTAAGATTGATTTTTTTATGTTTGATAAGTTTAAAAAATAAAATGATGAAAAGGGTGTCAATACATATCTTATTATTATATCAATATATAAAATTAAAGTGTATATAATATGTAATAGATAAATAGGATATATGCATATATTAAAAGTAAATAATATATATTTCATCACATATAATTAATTTGTCAACCATTTATCTTCTCAATTTTAGAGAATAAATTTGGATGAGTTAGAAGGAATATTAATCTATTTATTTTTTCATTTTTCGTATTTTCCTTTATCACCCATGTGATATATTATCTATTCTTTTAATTTCTCATCATTTCGACTTTTTATCATTCTTTTTTTCTATCATACCACACGAAGCATTGATGTTTTAGATATGTTTTCTTTTATTCCCTCTTTTGCCTTACATAATATAAGCCACGAATTGACATACACAAAATTTAATTTTTTGAAAACTTGTGAAGTGATTCTAGTTTTTTTTTTTAAACAAATTAGTAGTCTATTAGCCCCCTAAAATAATTTATTTTATTTTGAAATTTAGTAAAATGAATATAAATGTCTTGTCCTACATATATATGGACCAAAAATAATATATCTCTTCTGTCTAATAATTATCTACCATTTATCAAAAACAATAATATAGTTTTCCTACCATTGTTAGCTCTGCAAAACATGATCAAGATAAGATGTCAAAATCCAAATGTGTTATAATTGATTTTTCAACAAGACAAAGGATGATCTCACTTAGATTTTGCAACAAAATAAAGGATGATTTTTTATCATTGGCTCTATGATTATACACATTGAAATAAAATTCGTAAGAAATTTAGCTTAAAATCAATTATTTGTAGATAATTTTCGAGAATGTTGTTTGATGCAATAATTTAGTCTTGAATCTTAGTTTTTTTTGTTGGGCTTGAACTTAAATTTTTTTTTTTTGGGTATTAGCACATAAATGTATTTATTCATATTTTGCCTCTCCTAAAACAAAATTTTGCCTCCACCCTTAATGGCAACACTCACAAATTTTACTCAAAAGTCACCAATTAACAAAATGAGACTATTTCCGTCGCGTAAATCTCTGTTCTCACTCTATTTAATCATTTTATTTCAGACTACGAATTTCACTTTATTTATACTCATCCTATTAGTTACTATTTTGGAGCAAAAATTCAAATGGGCAAAATAGCTAAAATTTAGCTATTTTGGGGCAAAATAGCTAAAATTTAGCTATTTTGGAGCAAAAATTCATCCCCAACAGATGTTATCCATATTATTTGTTGTAGTGACACTCTAAATATAGAGTGTCACTGTAGCAATATGTAAATATTTATATATATTATTTTTTCTCTCTTTCTCATATTTCTTTCATTATCTCTCTTTGTCCCTTTCATTATTCCCAAAAATATATAATACAAAAGAGATGGTAAATAACATTTAAAAAGAGTAGTTAAAAATATAGAGAATTTATTGGAGTGTGTATTGAAAAAATGAGTAGCTAAAATAGAAAAAATTATTTTTTGGGTAGCTAAAATAGCTATTATTGTTGGAGATGCTCTGAGTCCACCCCATTTTTTATCCATTCAATTAAACTATTAAATATATGTCAAAGAAATTGAAATAAAAATAGTAATTAAAATTAAATTTAAATGTTCCACGGTAATTTATATTATTTTAAGATGTTTTAAGATATTTTTGATATATTTTTACCAATATTTTTGAATTTTTTTAGGTGTTTTAAAATATTTTGATATATTTCAAATAATATTTTAAAAATAATTATTGTAAGGTGTAGAAATCGCTACGGATCTCATCCTTCCACTTGAAGGATTCCGGTTGACCTGGCGGCACCAAGCCCCAATAGTCTTTATCTCTCTTCGCCAATAGGATCATTTTCTAAGGTAATCCCACATCGGAAGAGAGTCGTCTCTCTCCCTCACATATAAGTCATTGCACTCAAAGGAGGAGGTACCCACTAGGCAGGTACCTCCTCCTTTGAGTGCAAGGACTTATATGCGAGGGGGGGAGACGACTTTCTTCCTGTGTGGGACGAAGCTCCTGCGGGCGAAAAGGGGTAAAGGCTACTGAGGGTCGCCCAATGGGTTAACTAGGTCAAGCCGAAATCCTTGAGTTCAGGGATGAGATCCGAACGCGCGATTTCTATCCCTAAGAATTATTAATTTTTATTTTGTTTTTGAAATATTTACCAGATTTCTTGAAAATTAAATAAAAAAGATCCCATTAAAAACAAAATCAGAGAGCTGCAAAGTAAAGACTAAGATACGTAAAAGGAAGTCTAAAACAAAATCGTAGCAAAGAGTATGAGATGGAAATTGAAAGTTTTCAATCAAGCTTTTATGGAGATGCGATGAAGTTGTACTATAAAATGGAAATAAGCGAATAACAACGGACAAAGTGATAGTTGGTAATGTTCTTGCGTAGGTGAAAAAGAATTGATATTATCAAAAATAATATTTTAACAACAAAAAAGAAGATGGAGGAAACCATTCGTACTCTAGAATAAAAGCCAGTCCAATGTATAAAACTTTTTCATCCAGTAAGGTTTGAAAAGTGTCCAATATTCCTTAAATCACTCTTGTTTTTTAAATGAGTAGATTTAATATGATATAATTAATAAATAAATTTGGTATAAGTGAAATTAATTAAAATAAATACACAACGACATGACTTTTTAAAATTTTACTCATATATTTGATATAACATAATTTATTATACACAATTTAATAAATAAATCAAATATATATAGAATATTTTTTGACCCAAACGATTTTATCCGACAAGATTGACGTGCTCACTTTGGACAGAAGTCCAAAAATAAAAGGCTTCCTCCAAATTATGGTATTATAATGAGCATTGCAAAAGTGAGAGGCTATTGGACTCAACCACTTGTGGCCCGACTACTCTAAACTTCTTTTGCATTTCAAATCATAATTGGTATTTTTTGTCTTTGTGCGTTTTTATACAAAGAAAAAGAATCATTTTAAATTACTTAATAATCAAAAAATAAGTATACAATATTACAAATTAACTATGCATAAAATAGTTTGAGTTAGTTCGTTCAAGTTGCATCTCTAAATTTTAAGGTATTGTTTGGTATTTTTTTTTTAGTTAAAAAAATAATTTCTTCAAAAGACTAAAAATATATGTAATCACTATTTAATAAAAAAAAAAAAAGGATCTAGATGAATTTTTAGTGAATAAATTATATTCTTTGATAAAAAAAAAAGAATAAATTATATTCTTTTTATAGGTGTATTGTAAAACACTATTCATGTGATTATGGTTAGAATAAGGGAATAAGTCTGCCACGATTCTGATGGGAATTATTGCCAAAGCCGGCCCCCACAAATAGTGTAATAAAATGAAACTATTAATGATGCGGATAGTGCGCAGCGGGACCCATGACTTGGCTGATGGCTGGTACACCCTCTTTCGCCACGTGTCGAGTGACCAAGTTCTTCTGTAGTCTAATATGAAACACTGCATTCCAACTTATAATTGCCTCCCCAACCTTCGTGCAGGTGGTTTGACACTGGATATTAATGTAAACAGCCGGATTCATTTGGTAGAACTAGTTTGTCTCGTGCAAAGTGCAATGTATTTTTTTTTTTTAAATAAATGTATGTGTTGAGTTATTACAGTTAAAAGATTAAAAAATTTAAATTTAAAAAATTTTAGTGGTTAAAAGATTTTAAATGTTAAAATTTAAGTTATAATAGTTAAAATTTAAATAAGTTATT